GAAGATAATTTTAATTTACCTCATGTGATTATCACATATTGTGTACATGTATGAGATGGCATACTATACATCATAAACATGTGAAATTCCTTTGTCAATTAAAAATAAAAATATATTTTCAATTTTAATTCATCTTTTCAATCACAGAACTAGATTTGTCTCTTGAAAAACTGAATTGTATTTAGGATATTATTAATGCTTAAGGTTGTTGAATTTGCTTGGTAATAACTTGATTTTATTCTAAAGTTTTTTATTATGTGTTGTCCTTTTTATGTGTGTGTGCAGTGCTAGGAGTTTAACCCAAGTCCTCAAGCAATTCTAGGCACACACTCTACCTCATTCTCAGCCCTACTCTAAAGTTTTATTTCAGAGTTAGTCATCTTGTAATTTTCTCTAAAGTTTATGGGGTTGGAGAGATGGATCATCAATTAAGCACTGGCTGCTCTTGCAAAGGACTCAAGTTCAGTTCCCAGCACATATATGGCAGCTAACAACCATCCATAACTCCCCTGTAGGCATTACATGACATGGGTACACTTACATATATGCAGACAAAATTTTCATACACATAAAAATAAATTAATAAAGTTTAGTTTCAATACTCTGTTGCTTTTACTATATAAACCCATGAATATATGACAGGTTTAAATTATATCTTACTTGCCTAACATAGACAATACAAATTTAAATAATCTACAAAACTACCCTATACAAAACTCATAGGCCTGGAGGATTTCTTATCAATAAAGTCAAAAGCAGCACAGCTTCCCTCAGCCTATTCAGGAAAACAGCAATTTGCTATCTGTTATCTACCAACATTAATCCCTAACTTACGAACAACTTGTTTAGCAGAAGTTCTATAAAGCGATGACTTGAAGGTAAAGAAAGGTTTCATGCCTAATAAAAGCCAAAAATGACAGCAGATATCACTTAAACATACATTGTCTTTATGTAATCCTCACCTTTACCTTTGGAGAAAACACAGATTTGTGGTTATTTGTCCCTTATGTGGTACATCTGAAAAAGTCTAGATGTTCTAACTCTAAATCTTTTCTTTTATAACAAGGGTCTCAAACTTCTGTTCATTTTGCTAAGGTGCTTCAAAAAAACTGTTTGGGGAGTGAATAGCTATTTGAAAGAGGCTAAGGCCCAGAGTGGCAGCTCAGCAGTTGCAAGTGCTTCCTGCTACAACTTCTGAGGACCTGAGTTCAGTTCCCAGCACTCATATAGAATGGCTCACTATCATCTATAACTTCAGCTTGAGGGGATCTGATACCCTCTTCTGGCCTCCTCAGGCACATGTACACATGTGGCATATAGACACACACATACACATACATAAAAATAAATCTTTAAAAATTCCAAATCATGGATAAGGCTATAGGCAGGTCATGAATTCTGCTTCCTCTGTTACACATATTTCATTTTTTCTTATTAACATAAGCTTCTTTAAAAGGCCTAATTCTGGCTATAAGGATGCACTTGTAGAAAAATAAGTACTACAAAGAATAATTTTTTATTTTTACTGATATTCATTTATATTCACAGATAACATCAACAGTGCATGCTGAGTAAATATTCCCCTATTATGAAATGCACTAAAGACAATACAGAACTCTTTTATCAATCTTTGGTTTTCTCTGTAGCAGTTACACAGGAACAGTATTCAGTTTACTGATGGATATGAAGTAAAAGAAGATATTGGCGTTGGCTCATACTCTGTTTGCAAGAGATGTATACATAAAGCCACAAACATGGAGTTTGCAGTGAAGGTAAACTTTTTTAGATTTGATATGCAATTCTTAACAGTTGTTATTCATACACAGTAGTAAAAATTACACTTGTCGAAGCCAGGTGCCTGTATAGTGGCACATGACTACAGTCCCAACTGTTCAAGAGGCCAAGGCAGGAGAATCATGAGGTACAGGTCAGTCCATGCAATATGGCAAAACCTATCTCAAAAAGGAAATGCATAATTCTCTTTGACAGAAATGCCATTTTTTATAAAAATTTAAGGTAAATTTAAGTATCTGAATTAGTGTCTTCAAAGATCTTAATCTGAAATCATTGATTTCTATGGAGGTGAACAGTAAGAAGTACCAATTAATACCTCTCATAATTTTTAATAGCATTCCTTATACGCTGAATAGTCCCTACTTTATGGTCAATGTCTTAGGGAATTCCTCAAAACAGTATGCAAATGTTATATTATTTCTGGTGAACATGTTCATACCTTTCTTTACATCTAATAGTATTTTGTGATTTATTCAAAGAATAAGAGCCATGGTCATAAACATTATCGGGAGCAATTTTAATTTCCTAAGACAAAATTGTTCAAGGCAAAACCAAAGCACCTAGTTTTGTGATAAAGTGTGAATTTCAACCTTTAGCTATAAATGAACAAAATATATTCAAAGCGTCTGCCTTTTCACTGTCCACAATAGTAATTTCTGTTCTCCCACTTCAAGTAATTCAAGTAATATCTAAAGCTTCCAACTGACCTTGAACCTTATTGTTAGTTTATAAATGTGAGTAGCTGATGTTTAGTTAGCAAGAGAGCAACATTAATTGTTATTAATAGATTAAACTGAATGTAATTGCATTAAAGAAACATCACTATCCATGAGGCTTTCTGTCCGATACACAGATGAACCATAGAAATGCAATTATCTTGCTGTTTTCTTGTTCATTGCTCTTTTGGAACTCTGGAGTGGATGAAAATGTCAAATTGCTAACATGAAAAGAAAGAAAAGAAATAGTATACTTGATTGGATCCTGCTTCCATATATTTGTAAGAAATAGCCCCATTTGAGGATGATTGCCACCAGTATGAGGTGACTTTGAGGCCAGTCTGGGCTACAGAGTGAGAACCTGTCTCACGAAAAAAATTTTTAACAAAATTGAACATACAAAGATCACAAAATTTGTTTCAGGCTACTCCAAGTGAATCAAAGACAGAATTGAGCCAGGTGTGGTGCCTGACATCCCAGCACATGGGAGAGGAAATGGGAGGATGAGGAGTTCGAGTTCTTCCACAGCTAAATAGCAAGTTTGAGGCCAGCATGAAACCCTGTTTCAAAAAACAAAGCCCAACTTGTCTCTTTTTAAATATATTGTTTGAACAGATTAAAACATTAGGAAAAAAATTAAGCAGCTGACATAAAAGGGTTAGAAAAGCCAAATTAGCATTTTGAAGGACTCAGTCAAGTGAAATTCTACATATGGTATTGTACAGAGCTACTTAATTTTCAAAATAAGCTGTTTACTTAATTTTTATAATTAGCTTACAACTAATGTGATAGTCAATTAAAGTACTTAATCAAAAGAGGTAAAGTCAATTCAACAAATAGATGTTAATAGTGGTATTACAGACACATTTATCTCTTAATATTTGTATCAATAGGGAATTAGAAGTTCACTGAATTCTCAAATGCTTTAGAAATTTAAGGATGAGGAAAAATTACGTGTTAGCTGTGTTTTTAGTAACTTTTCTTGAGGCTTTTGAAATTTGAGTAAGTCCTAAATTTACTACAAACTTAACATTGGAGAGACCTAGTGGGACTGGTCTCCTGGGTAGCCTAGTAACCTTGCCATCTATATCAACATTAGCTTTCTAGTTCAACAGTCTAAGTATTTGACTGGTAAGTAGCTTGTATGTATAATATTTGCATATGATGATACCTAAATGCCTATAAATATTTAAGGTTTATGTCATAAAATTTTATGATAAATATTTGCATTTTAGATTATTGATAAAAGCAAAAGAGACCCAACAGAAGAAATTGAAATTCTTCTTCGTTATGGACAGCATCCAAACATTATTACTCTAAAGGATGTAAGTAGACTGTTTAACAAGGATCATTTGAATTGCTTGTTTAACTCACATTTGAAATATTTTTCAAATATTATATAGTAGACCAAGACTTCAGGATAATCATCGTAAAAACTAATCTTAGATGGCTGAAAGTGGAAATTACCTTAAGCAAAATAGTCCAGACTTGGAGTAACAAATACTACATATTTTCTCTCATGTGGATCCTAGATTTTCATTTTTATGTGTGTATGCATACACACATATGAATGGTATAGGTCATGAAGGTAGAAAGGGGACCATAAGAGGTGGTAAAGAGATCTTAAGGGAGGATTGAGAAGGGGAAAAAAGAAAGTAATAGAATGCATGTGACGTAAAATCAGAAGAGGGACTTGTGAAGAGAAAGGAGAGGACCAGCAGGATGGGGACAGGGTGTGGAAGGGGGAGGGGAATGGGAGAAAAGAATCATTTTTTTTTTAATGAGTGAAAATCCCATAATGAAGCCCATTACTTTGTCTGATATCTTTAAAAATAAAATATAAAATGTAGACTTGAGAAGAATGTTTATTGTCTATTTATAAAGAAGAATATATAATTTTCTGCTTTTGCTTTAAAAACAGAATTTTAACATTATCACTCCTAGTGTATGAATTTATTTGAACATGTTTACAAATACCAAATAGTAATATTCATGATTGAGTTGTCTCTCTAAAGGCTTCCAAACAGTGTTCCCACATTACTAACAGCAAGAGAGTTAATGAATAATCCTATGCATCCGTGATGCTTCTCTGCCTGTATTTCGTGCTCTCAAGTCCCTGTCTTTGTAGCAGTTTTCATACTTCCTCACACACTTTATGTTCCAGCCATGCTTTTTTTTAGTGTACAGATTTTGGAAAGCATATCTTGTTTTCTCATAGTGCTCTTTCAATGTAGGGTTCCCTCAGGTGGGAACAGCATTTCCCTTTGCCTGGCTAACTAACTACCACAATTAAGATTCTGCTAAGGGCTCCTTCCTCCTAGGAAGCCTTTCCTGCCCATCACTACCCCCAGGACAAGTGAGATATCCTTTATCAGGGCTATCCTGATGCTCAAATACCTTTGTCTCCTATGGCTTTTATTATAACAGAGTCTTGCCAAAAGTATCCACTTCCCAGGTAGTAGTCAGCTCTCTCGATGCTGGTGTTCATGTAGGCTCAAAGGCTCTATCTAGGTGTTGGCAAAACACTAGTTGTCTCACATTAATTTGCCAAAGCTCTTTTCTTAGATGAAGAATGTTAGTTTAGTCTCATTAAAATGTGACATTATATCTTTTATAGATCTTTTCTTCTTCATTTCAAATTCCCAAGTCTCTAAAATCTTCCTCAGACTTCTAGCACAGCATCTCAAACACTTTTTTGGGTTTCATTTATATGTCTGCTTCTCTGTATCAGTGTACACCATTTGAGAGTACTTAATTTTCTCTATATTTAGGACTTACACCTGTACAGTATCTTAGGCCTCTTAGAGAGCTAAATAAAAGTCTCTGGTAATAGTATTATGACAGGAAAATTAAAAAGAACTAAAGTTTAATAAAAGGAATTATTTTGGTTAGGGGTTGCTTGGAATACAAATCCAAAATGTAGTAAGCTTTCAATTTCTGTGTTAGGAGTTTGCTAGTGTGCTTCTTTATGGTTGCATGGAATGTCTCTTTACAACTTAATCTTCCTATAGAATTCTTAAGTATAACTGTGTTTTTTTTCAGGTTCATTAAAAACCAGAATAATTAATTTGTTTCATGTACATTAATACAAAAGTTCTGTCTTTTCAAAAACTCCAGGAAAATCAGAAAAGTCCACTATTGTACCATCTCTTGTAGATCCAGATGGGAAACAAGCCCTAAGAATATGAATTGAGTGCACCTTCATATACCATGCCCATAGTTGCTTTGATTATTGTGAATTAGGTTTCACAGGCAGGAATTACAAGATATTTTTCTGACAATCAATCTCAGTCCCTATTTTCATATTCCTGGATGTATAAAATTACAAGTTTCATATTCTACATTGGTTGTAAACAGTAAAATTTTCTTGAATAAATGTTTTAATTTCTTACACTATATTAATTTTTCCTAAATATGTTTATGTAGTAGTTTAGTGGCATATAAGAGCTTCCAATTGCCAGGCGTGGTGGTGCACGCCTTTAATCCCAGCACTCAGGAGGCAGAGGCAGGCGGATCTCTGTGGGGTTAAGGCCAGCCTGGTCTACATAGTGAGTTCCAGGACAGCTGGGGCTACAGGGAGACTCGTCTCAAAAAGACCAAAAAAAAAGCTTCAAATAAATTTTTAATGTTCTGACATTAAATTTTATAGGTGTATGATGATGGAAAATATGTGTATGTAGTGACAGAACTTATGAAAGGTGGTGAACTGCTGGACAAAATTCTTAGACAGAAATTTTTCTCTGAACGAGAGGCCAGTGCTGTCCTCTTTACTATAACCAAAACTGTTGAATATCTTCACGCACAAGGGGTAAGTCTTTTTAACATGATTATGCACACGTACATAGACATATGCATCAGTTTTTGTCTTAATACTCGGGCTAAAATTACAAATATGGAAGTAATGGAAAATAACTATAATTAGCTTCATTATCCTACTGCTTTTCCTTTATAGAAACTTTTCTCATTGGTTTTAAAGTGCTACTTTGAAATCCTAGCATGCTTATATTAAATTCTTACGCTTTCCAAAAAAAAGTGCATGGTGTCTTCTGACCTGTAAAACAGTACTCCTCTAAAACCAGGCCCACTTCAAGCTAGAATCAGAACAGGAGAACCGTAGTTTGTGTTCACGTACATGAGTAAGGCCAGGTAGTCACCCAGCTTCCAGCCAGTGAATACTCTCCTCATTTTTTCCTGCATACAAATTTTTAATAAATAGCACAAAAGTCAGATTTTTTGAAGAATGAAGCCTTTGGAAGAGAGAGAAAGAGAAAATAAAGAGGCAGGAGAAAAGAATAGCAGAGCAGTGAAGAGGGATAGAAAATGAAGGGGAAATGTTTGCTTTTATTTTTTTATATTTTTAATTGGCAAAAATACACTTATGGTATAGATTAAAAAATAAGGGGCTGGAGAGATGGCTCAGCGGTTAAGAACACTGTTCTTGCAGAAGACCCAGGTTTGAATCCCAGCACCCACATGGCAGCTAACAACTGTCCGTAACTCCAGTTCCAGGGGATCTGATGCCCTCTTCAGACCTCCATGGGCACTGCACAACATGGATGCATTTACATACATGCAGTCAATACACTCATACACATAAAATAAAATAATTTAAAAATTTAAAAAAAACATACATGTTCATATGTGTGTACAGGTGCACATGTATGCAGGGCATGGAGGACAACGTTGGGTGTCATCCTCAGGAATGCCATCCATTTCCTTTGAATCAGGATCTCTCATTGGCCTGAAGCTCATCAATTAGGCCAGACTCACCAGTGAGCCACAAGGATCCTTCTGTCTCTGCCTCCCCAGCACTGTGCTTAACACATGCCACCACACCTGACATTTTTCCATGGGTACTGGGGCTTGAACTCAAGTCCTTGAGCTTACAAGGCAAACACTTTACCAAATGAGCCAATCCCCAATCTAAAAATTTTTTTATTATGTTTGTGAAAAAAATTACTTAAGGAGTTCATTTCAATGCACTGTTCTCACCCCCCACCCCCTCACCCCTGCTTAAAAACTAGCAAGTGTGATGTGTTAAAACAACAGAATTCTAGTTTCTGGCTAATCAACATTTTCCTAGTACTGTACCTTGAAATTGGTAGAGCTCAATATTCACTGAGTAATTTACAGCTTTACTGTCATCTACATCTTCCATGTTCTTTTACCAGTGCCTTATCAATTAGTAAAATAGTATTAATGTTCTGATTGTGAGAAACTAAACCTAAGGTGATTAATTAGAATATCAACTCAGAGTTTGGTGGTGGAAGAAGCACTTAAGCCTAAACTCTTAAAAAGGGGAGGGGTGATTGGGCACATATGACATTTAACTTGTACATTAAATAAATGATATGTGAAGTCTGGGTTTAGATTTTTTGGGTGGGTTCTTTGGTTGGTTTTTTACTTCTGAACGCCATACCAGTTCATATTTGTCTTGTACCTATCTTGCTGTATATGTATCACTCCCGCTATTTAGAATGACTTTATCCCACTGTTTCCATGGCTTATTTAATGTTCTTCAGGTCTTTTAAGTCAGATGTTTATCCTCCAAAGACCCTCCCATGCTATTTAAAGTGACTTCTCTGAACTTACTATTCTCTTCCTTTCTACTCCGAAGCAAGCACCTAGTTTGAAACAGCCAGCATCTTGTGGGTCTGTTCACCACAGTGTCTGCAGCTCCTTATACAGCAGCCTTGCACATAACAGACACTGAGTAAATATGAAATGAGTGAATAACCTGCATATAGACATTGTTGCTATTTGCATTTCTCTTTAAACTATGCAATTAGACAAAGGGAATGGATAGCTACTATTCTTTCTCCTTGCCCCCCAGGTCAGAGTTACACAGCTGTTTACATAACAGCATTTTATAATGCTGGGATAATTTTAAGGTCTGTGCACATCATCTTGTTAGGTACATTGCTTGGCAGTTTATGAATAAAGAGCTTTCTGTGAGAAAATGTATTGTTAATGTAACTCATTTCAATTTGTATTTTAACTAGGTGGTTCACAGAGACTTGAAACCTAGCAACATTCTTTATGTGGATGAATCTGGTAATCCAGAATCTATTCGAATTTGTGATTTTGGCTTTGCAAAACAGCTGAGAGCAGAAAACGGTCTTCTGATGACTCCTTGTTATACTGCAAATTTTGTTGCACCAGAGGTAATTGTGAGAGTATTTTGTAATTGGTTGGAGTGTTTTGATATATTTAAGGATTCATTTGCTATCTTTAGTATAGAGTAGTCAATTATTGTTTAATTGATGAATTACTGAACTGATAGTTAAGATGAAATGCTAGTCCTTTATTTCCCTGTTTAATGCTTCAATGACATCTGATTGCCTATGGGGGTGGGGGTTACTAAATTTCTTAGTAAGAAATTACAAAAGCTCTTTCTAGTATCCCCGACTTTAAGTTCTAGCCACTATGTACCCTTTTGCCTATCACTAAGGCTGTCCTGTCATTATTTTTTTGTTGTTGTTGTTAGGTTTTTGTTTTTTTGTGTTTTGGGTCTTTTTGAGACACAGTTCCCTATAGCCCCAGCTGACCTGGAACTCACCATGTAGACCAGTCTGGCCTTGAACTCACAAGAGATCAGACTGTCTTTGCTTCCCAAGTGCTGGGATTAAAGGCCACCATGCCTGGTTTGTTGTTTTGTTTTACTTTGAGACCCAACCTGGCCTGGATCTTACAGTGATCCTCCTACCTCAACCTCCCAAGTGCTAAAATTACAGATGGTGAGCCACCACATCCTTTTGCCCTCTTGTTTCTACCTTTGAATATCTTCTGCTTACTCTTTGCCTACAGACTTCTTACTTCGAGGTCCAATACAAGCTACCTACCATCTAACCTTTTGTCTCTCCTCATATGAAGACTAAATTGGGGCTTAAAGGATGACTCAGTGAGGGGGTGCTTACCTACCTTATAGGAAGCCCTAGATTTTTATCATCAGCCCCACAAAAATAAAGAAATTACTTACCCATCTGTATATACATTATCACATCAGACATGATTGTTTTGTTGTACTTCTGTTGAATTGTTAACTATTTAATGTTTATTTCCCCTGCTAGATTTTTTTTGTTTGTCATGTAACTCATACTTGATAATAATTGATGATTATTAAATATTTGAGTAAATCAAATAACATAAATTAGTAATATTTGGCACTATATCACTTATATGAGGTTATGTGTGCTCTTAAAAGAATTGCTATTGGGACTAGAGAAATGGCTCAGCGGTTAAGAATACTGACTGAACACAGACCCAGGTTCGATTCCCAGCACCCACATGGGAGCTAACAACTGTCCGTAACTCCAGTTTCAGGGGATCCAATAGCCTCTTCTGTCCTCTGAGGGCATTTCATGACACAGGTGCACTTTTATACATGCAGGCATGACACTCATACACATAAAATAAAAATAATAAAGTATTAAAAGAAAAAGAATTGCTATTGCCAGGCATGATAGTACATGTCTGTAATCCTAGCACTGAAGAAGCAGAGGCAGTAAGATCAAGAGTTCATCACCTGCCTGGACTGCATAGGAAGTTCAAGACTAGACTGGGTTGCAGAGTAAGTTCAAGGCCAGTCTGGGCTACGGAGTAAAATCCTGACTCAAAAAATATTGTTATTTCTAATCATTTCTGTAACCTCATGAAAAATATAAATTCATTAAGTTAAGAAAGTTGTATTTGCCAGGCGTGGTAGTGCAAGCCTTTCGTCCCAGCACTTGGGAGGCAGAGGCAGGTGGATCTCTGTGAGTTCAAGGCCAGCCTGGTCTACATAGTGAATTCTAAGACAGCTGGGACTACAGGGAGACCCTGTCTCAAAAAAAGAGAAAGAAAGAAACTTATCTTTGATTTGTCCTTTCTATCTCTGTACCTACAGCAGTACACAATAAATATTTATTCAAACATCAATGTTAAATGTATTTATATATTTACAGATATACATATGAATTAGCAGTAGTAGAGTGTTCTAATATTAGATTACTATATGGCCTTATTTGTTAATCATGGTCTGTTAAAGTTTTTCTGATTTGCGTCAATTTGGAAAATATAATTCAATCCACAGTCTATCCAAATATATATTTTAAAAAATTGTGTGGTAGAGCTGGAGAGATGGCTCAGCAGTTAAGAGAATTTGCAGAAGAACCAGACTTAGTTCCTAGCACCCACTTTGGGCAGCTCACAACTACCTATAATTCCAACTCCAGGGGTTCCAACTCTTCCTTCTAGCCTCCAGAGGCACCTGCACACACTTGGTGCAAAGAAAACATCAGTATGGTGCAGGGCATGGTTGTGCATACCTTTAATCCCTGCAGAGGCAGGCAGATCTCTGTGAGATCAAGGCCAGCCTGGTTTACATAGCAAGTTCCAGGCTAGCTGGGGCTACAAGGAGACATGGAACAAAAAAAAAAAACAGAAAAAGAAAAGAAATCATTGGTATAGTAATACTCATCTTACTTTTTCTAGGTCTTAAAACGACAAGGTTATGATGCTGCCTGTGATATATGGAGTCTTGGTGTCCTCCTTTATACAATGCTTACTGGGTGAGTATGTATCATGTACTACTATAAGCATATATTCATCAATATTTTGCTTAAATTGTGTAGGCTTTTATAATCCCTATGTATGTTTTCTCATACTAATATATATATATTCCTGTAATAATATATTTATAGCTATGGTCTTAATGTCTCATGGCCTTAAATTAATCTTTCCATACATTGTGTACACTGATTATGTCATCAACATATGCTGTTTTAATATAGTATTCTATAATATGTCATAACTTGGAATTCAAATAATATTGTACATTGTTTAGTTACTATAGTCTATGACTTGGCCTATGGAGCTTCATTTTATTGATTTTTTTTTAATTCACTTTGGCAGACTCCAATAAAGTATTACATTAACTGAATTACTCATAATACTTTTGGAAACTGCAAATAAATGTAGAGATTACCAACCAAAAGAAAAATTACATTCATTAACATTTTAATTCTACTATAACCTAGTTATACTCCATTTGCAAATGGTCCTGATGATACACCAGAAGAAATATTGGCACGAATAGGTAGCGGAAAATTCTCACTCAGTGGTGGTTACTGGAATTCTGTTTCAGATACAGCAAAGGTAAGTGTGGGCCTCCTATTACAAAGTCTATTTGTTTTGTTTTGTTTTGTTTTGTTATTAGGTCTAGGAATCAAACCTAGTACTCCATGTATGCTAGGAACACATTCTACCACTGAGCTACACACTTGACCCTGTTACAAGCCAGAGGTTTCATGTATGTGCATGTTCATCAGTGAGTAGAGATGTATGTGTGTTGACATATGTGGAGGTCAGAGGTCAATTTTGGATGTCATTTCTGTAGTAGCTATCCACCTTCAGCTTTTTTATTTGTTTGTTTGATTTTGGCATCAGGATGGGGATGTTTTTTGTTTTGAGACAGGTTCTCTCTCTGATCTGGGGCTCACCCATTAGATTACTTGTCTCTGCCTCCCCATCACTGAAATTATAATACATGCAGCAGTGCCTAGCTTTTTACATGAGTGTTGAGGATCAAACTCAGGTCTCTATTCTTGAACAGCAAGCACTATGCTGCCTGAGCTATCTCCCCAGCCCCTATTACAAGCCCTTCAGAAAATTCTTTGTCATAATCGATGATGAGAAGAAATACTAGCAATTAGAAGCTTTTGCTTATCAAGTAGTCTGTTGAAGTGATATCAAATAACTTGAACTCCAAAATGGACCATTATTTTGTTTCTCTCCCAGATTTTGACTTGGCCTTGTTATCTATATATTTGCTAAAGCTTTCTCTTACTGCTGAACATGATGATTGGCAGTGATGGTAATGTTTATGATTTGTCTGTCTACTATGTGCTTCACACTGCACTTTATCCAAATGATCTCATGAAGTCCTCATTACAACCTTGTAAAATAGATCGTCATTTCATAAAATAAAGCAAAGACTAGAGTTTTGTTGTTGTTGTTGTTGTTGTTGGGTTTGTTTTTGTTTTTATTTGGTCTTTTTGAGACAGAGTCTCCCTGTAGCCCCAGCTGGCCTAGAACTTAGTATGTAGACCAGGCTGGCCTTGAACTCACAGAGATCTGCCTGCCTCTGCCTCCCTAGTGCTGGGATTAAAGGCTTTCACCACCATGCCTGGTAAAGACTAGAGTTTTAGTATAAACTTGTCTATGGTGATACATCAGGTACATGTGGGCAAGGTAAACTCTCACTCCAGAGTGCTTGTTCCCTGAAAAAATTGCACAATGTTCTCACCTTGATTCATGTGATAAAGAAAAGGGACTCATCTATTTCACAGTTAACAGTAGAATGGGTTTATAGCCTCTGCTGGAAATCACTTGAAAAGCTTTAGAGCCTGCTCCATCCCTAGAATAACACTGGCTTACTTTCCAGTTCTTCTCTACTTTAATGATATTTATAGAAAATTCTTTTTTTAAAAAAATAGTACATTTTTCCATTCAAAATTAGAAAAATATAGAGGAGACTGAAGAGCTATTAATAAAGATGCTCACTGGTTTTTCTTAGAAATGGAGCTTGAGTTGAGGTAATTGTAAATAAAATACATTGAAAGCATTCATAGGATCTTTTGCTATAGAGCATAAAGCCCTAGTCAGTTTGATGGTTGTTTATATACTTGGGGTTTTGTTTTATTTTGTTTTGTTTTTCTCTGTTACAAGTGTTTTATCTGCATGTGTGTTTGCACATCACATGCATGCCTGGTGCCCAAGGAGGGCTTCTGATACCCTGGAACTGGAGTTGGAGACAGTTGTAAGCCACTATATGGGTACTGGGAAGCAAACCTGGGTCTTCAGTAGCAATAAATGTTTCTAAATACCTAGCCATCTCTCCAGCTCCAGATACTTGGTTTTTTAACTGCATTTAAAATAAAATGTCAGACTTGAGAGGGTGTAGCTCAGTGATAGAGCATGTTCTTAGCACACACGAAGGCCCTGGGTTAGATTCCTCAGCACACACACACACACACACAAAAAACTGAATGTTAGCCTTTATGGTTTTCTAACAAAATTTCTCAAAGCAGATGCTTCATTTTTCTGGATACCCGTTTCCATCCTAATTCTCTTTATTGAGCACCTAAAATGTACTTAATAAATAAATGAAAGCCCTGCCCAGTGTAGTGGCACATGCCTTTAATCCCTCAGAGGCAGAGGCAGGCAGATCTCTGTGAGGTCAAGGTCAGCCTGGTCTATATAGTGAGTTCCAGGACAGCTGGGTCTACAGGGAGACCCTGTCTAGCATACATACATACATACATACATACACACACTCTGTCTTACATACAAACATACCTGTCTAACATACATGAATGAATGAATGAATGAATGAATGAATGATAAATAAATAAATAAATAAATAAATAAATAAATAAATAAATGCTACAGGGAGACTATGTCTCAAAAAACCAAAATAATTAAATAAATACATGGATGGATGGATGGATGGATGGATGGATGGATGGATGGATGAATAAAACCCCTAGAGAGAAACAATTTGGCAAAGATAGAATTCTTGATTTCAGAGAGCTTACAATCTGGCAGATAGACAGCCAGAACTGAGCAGTATAGTATCACTTGTAATGTAGTACAGTTTTTGTGCTAAGGATGTTTACAGATGATGCTAAACTAGGAAGACTTCAGGGAATGCTTTGCAGCAGTGGTGAGGGAGGTTGCTGGACAGATGGAGGGGTATTGCAAAAGGTTGTAGTCTATCCCAGACCAGTAGATGATGATGGGATCATGAGAACAGCAGAGTACCCCAGACTGTCATTTGATGAGTGCTACAGTATATACAAGCCAGTGATAGCTGATGAACCCAGATTGTGAACAGCTCATAGCTCATGCTTAGGATTATTGACTTATCCTGGGTATTATGAACTTTTTTTATACTAAACTGTGCAGTGATCAGATTTTCCCTTTTGTACCCATGGAGCAAAACAGTAATTTTTATTTTCATGGAGTCTGCCACAAACTATTGTGATCAATTGTATAGTATATGATTTACTTGTGAAGTAAATGTTGAAAGTAACTTAAGTATCAGGGCTTACGCATTACCTAGTTTATCTAGTCAGGCAAAACTAGTTGTATTGGGGTTAGAGAGATGGCTCAGTGGTTAACAGCACTGACTACTCTTGCAGAGGACCCGGGTTTTGGTCCCAGCACCCACGTTTCAGCTAACAACTGTCTGTAACTCTAGTTCCAGGGAATCCAACACCCTCTTCTAAGCTCCACCGGCGCTGCAGGACACTGGTGCACTTAACATACATCCAGGCAAGACACCCATACACATAAAATAAAAATAATAAAATATTTTTAAAAAACTAGTTGCATTACTTTTATGTTGCTGTGATAAAACAGCATGACCAAGGCAACTTGTAGAAGGGAGAATTTATTTGACTTGCAGTTCCAGGGAAGATTCCATTATAATGAGGGAGGCATGGCCATAGGAGGTGGCTAGATCAGAAAGCTGAACAATCACATCTCCTAGCAGACACAGGAAACAGAGGGAGACTTACTGGAAAATCCAGCAAGGCTTAAGAACTCTCAAAGCCCACCCCCTGTGACAGGTTCTTCCAGCATGGTCATACCTACTAAAGGTTCCATGACCCTCTCACAAACTAGAGACCAAGTGTTCAAACACTTTGAGTCTGTTGGGGGACATTTTCAATCAAACCCCACAGTAGTTAAGGTTATCTCTATAGTTTTATAATCACTTTAGCTCCAGCATGCTTTTTAGTGAGATAAAGATGGAGACACAAAAAAATTGTATCCAACTGTCTTATAAATTCCATGTTATTACAGTAAACTTTGCTTATATGTACAGTTAAGACTTCTGATTGTAAGCATCATGAAATACTATAATTACATACCTCAAGAACAAATTGCCTATGTGAATACTGTCAGTCATGTGGGTCATATGTGTCATATGTGGCTTTGAGAAGAACAGAACCACAGCTGCCATTTACTGAGCATTTACTTTCAAAGGGCTCTGTTGTCTATTGGACTTAAATTGTTTTATTTGATGCTCACTGACATAATATTAGGGTAATGTGTCACCTGTAAAGTTTTGCATATTTTAGGTCATCAATGATGTGGGCCTAAATTATAGCAATTGTCCTGGAATTTGAGGTAAATGAAAAGGCAATCTTGAAGGCAGACTTTATAATTTATTGGACATAAATGAGTAAGAAGCAGCTATAAAGCGTACAGTTCACAAATCTACCTTGGCAGGATTGCAGATTTGGACATAATTAATTTAAAATGCTCATGTAATATAATTAATAGATACTGACCATTAGGCAGCTGACCATATGGCTATGGGTCTTGGAGAGAAGTTGTGGTGGAATTTGAAGTTATCTGTAATAGCTAAAATAATGATAGTGATTGAGATTATCAGAGCATACTGGTAAGAGAATCAGGGAAGGAATTGTGAGAAGTGCTGCCATTTAAAGAGAAAGTTGGGACTGGGGAGGTGAGCCCTTGCCTAACACCTGTAAGGCCCTGGGTTTCATGTTCCATCACCAACAATGAGAGTCGGAGGGAAGAAGGGAGGAAAGGAGGGAGGATGAGTAGCCTTTGAATGGTTAGCAGGAGAAGCAAGAGAAGTTTGAAGTGACTTGGCCAAAAAACAACTACATTGAATTTATTAAAATTATAGCTGGGTTTTGTTTTGCCCCTGGAAGTTTTGCAACACTTAATTTAAGCATTGACCTACTTTCAGAATTTGATAGGAAAGATTTCTTTTCATATTTTGCTTTTTGTACCTGTCTTTTATTTTTATTGTTTTTTTTTTTTAATGATATGGCATTGCCCAAGCTATCTCCAAACACCTGGGTTTAAGGGATCCTCCTTCAACTTCCCAAGTAACTGAGACTACAGGACTACAGGCATGTGCCATCATACCTGGCTAACTCTTTATTTCCAATTCTGTTCAATAGCTTATTCCTGTTCTTAGCTGTTAAGAGAAACTCTTAGGTGTCTAGAAGCAGAATACCTAGAACCACATCGCCTCAATTTCCATTGTCTAGTTAGCCACCAGAGGCTGTCAAGATTTTTTTTTCTACCCAGGCATGGTGGTACTTGCCTATAATCCGAGCGTGTGGGAAGCTGAGTCAAGAGGATCAGGAGTTTAAGGTCATCTTTGGCTACAAACAGTTTCAAGCCAGCCTGGGCTATATGAGACCCTGTCTAAAAAGAAACAAGCAAGCAAACAAAAAACCTGTAGTCTCCAGGCTTGCCCCTCCAAGCCACTTTTCTCCACACTTAGGGAATATAATATCTAAATTGTAAACAACCACATCATCATCTTGCTTTAAGTCCTTTATTGTTTCCACAGTAAGTCTATATTGTTAAAATGGCTTACAAAGACCCTCAAGATCTGTTCCCTCCTCACCTCTTCTACTTTATTGGCTGATACATTCTCCTGTACAATAAATTTATAGCATAGCCACATTGAGCCTCTAGTCAGTTCAACTGCGACATGTTCTCTTGCACCTGAGAGCTTTCCTCCAAATGCTTCCCTTTGTTTCCACCAAACCTTCTCTAATCCAGGTCCTGCCTATTCTTTAGTCTCACCTCTCTAAGAGTCACTTCTACCAGCAATCAGGGCTGTGAGACAAGAGGATTGTTAGAAGTTTGAGGTCAGCCTGAGCTATATAGATAGTAGCAGGCCAACCTGGGGTACATAGCAAGACCCTGTCTTCAAAATACAAAAAGTCACTTCTTTGCCAATCCCTGGTTCAGGCCAGGTTTCTCTTTATGTTCTCCTAGCCACACTTAGTACTTGTTCATCCCATCAGAGAATTTACTTGCTTTATATTAATTGTCTCTCCCTTTTTGAGCTAAAGTTTCCTGAAGCAAGAGTTCTCTGAATGTTATAAATCTCAAAAAAATGTAGGAAAGTAAAAAACTCTGGGGTGGAATCACACATCAGAGTCTATAGTCCATATAAGAGTACATTAAATTGGGTGGGCATCCATGAGGGGTAGTACAAAGAGGGGATCTAAATACCATCAAACTCTATTGTATGAAAATAGCAAAAAAATCTATAAATAATTGATTTTAAAAGTCCAAAGTTGGAAAAAGAGAGTACTTAAAGATAAGTAGCATTGGCAAATAAACCCCTTTTAATCTACCAAAATTACGGTTACTTGGAGAGAAGAAAGGAGAGATTGAAGTATTTTTGTTCCAGACTGTTTTGATTGCAAAAGGCTGCTACCATGAAAAAAAAGTAGTGTCATAAAAGCTAAAGAAGAGGGGACTAGAGAAATGACTCAGCAGTTAAGAGCACTGGTTGCTCTTGCAGAGGACCCAGCTTCAGTTCCTGGCACCCACATGGTGGCTGACAGTCTCCTGTAACTCCGGTTCCAGGGTATCTGATGCCCTCTTCTGACCTCCATGGGCATCACACAACACAGGTGCACTTACATGCATATACACTCATACACATAAAATAAAAATACATAATAAATAAAATACTTTTTAAAAAGCTAAAGAAGAATGTTTATAGCATCAGTAATCCTAGAAATAAAAGAGGGTGGGGGAAAGGATTAATCTTATATTATTCTTCTCCTTCACCTGACAGGACCTAGTGTCAAAGATGCTTCATGTTGACCCTCATCAGAGACTGACTGCTGCTCTTGTGCTCAGACATCCTTGGATCGTCCATTGGGACCAACTGCCGCAATACCAACTAAATAGGCAGGATGCACCACATCTTGTAAAGGTGAGCCCTACATCCAGTCACTGCTGCTTTCTGCATGGCTTCCTGGATGGACAAGTCCAGCTGAGACTCTAAGAAGCCCTTTCCATGCCCCCAGCAACTTTTTCATCTTACATACAGTGCTAGTGTGGGATTCTCCTATATGTATGACTAAGAAAATAAAAACTCAAGTCATGCTAGAATATCAGTAATGAAGTTAGTATAGGGGAAAGTGGGGTTTCTGTCAATCTACATACATAGGCGTTCATTATCAATAAGGACAGGCGAAGGGCCAGAGAGATAGCTCAGTGCTTAAGAGCCCTGGCTGCTCTTGCAGGGGACCGGGGTTCAGGTCCCAGCATCCACATGGCAGCTTACAACCAGCTGTAACTCCAGTCCCAGGGGATCTGACGCCCTCTTCTGACTTCAGCAGGCATTGCACAACATGGGTGCACTTCGATACATGCAGGCACATAAAATAAAAATAATAAAATATTTTTAAAAATAAGGACAGGTGAGCCTGTGGATCTCCTGATAGCGTGCTTTGCAGCCTCTCATAGAAAAGGACTGGAAAGACAAATAAGTAACCCTAAGAAAAATGAGGATTGCTTGAGTTGAGCCCTTCCCTGTCTTCTCTAATACATAATTTCAACCTCCCACATTGGCCTTGGCTTTAGCTAAATCTAAAAAATTGACCCATGTGGTTATTTTCATTATGAGACTAATAAAACCTATATTCATGGGCTGGAGAGATGGCTCAGCGGTTAAGAGTACTGACTACTCTTGCAGAGGACCCAGGTTCAATTCCCAGTACCCACACGGAGGCTAAAAACTGTCCTTAACTCCAGTTCCAGGGGAATCCAAAGCCCTCTTCTGACCTCCACGGCATTGCACCATGACACGGGTGTACTCACATACATGCAGGCAATACACTCATACACATTAAAAAAAAAAAGTTAAAAAAAAAGTCTACATTCCAGACGTTCACCTTCACCCACTGAGCCAGCTCAGTAACCCTTGTTTTTTTCATCTTTTTATTTTAAGCGATATATATTCATTTTGTGTATCCCTTTCCCTGTGCCTTTTGGTGTGTGTGTGTGTGTGTGTGTGTGTGTGTGTGTGTGTGTCCTAGTTCTCACTTGCAAGGAGTTTAGAAGGCCTCCCAGGAGAGTGAGTTCTCTCCCCTTCCAACAACAGAGTCCCTGTACTCACATGTCCCAGCACTCACATGGTGGCTACGAACCATCCTTAACTCCAGTTCTAGGGGAATCCGAAGCCCTCTTCTGACCTCCATGGCATTGCACGACATGGGTGCACTCACATACATGCAGGCAATACACTCATGCACATAAAATAAAATTTTTTTAAAAATCTATATTCATTTGCATATGAAAAACATTTCTGAGAAAAACCCTTTATTTCATCTTTGTATCACGCCATTTTTGTTATTACCTTTCTTTCCTTTTTTTTTCAGGGTGCCATGGCAGCTACATACTCTGCTTTAAACCGTAATCAGTCACCAGTTTTAGAACCAGTAGGCCGCTCTACTCTTGCTCAGCGGAGAGGTATTAAAAAAATCACCTCAACAGCCCTCTGAAGTGACCTCAGTGAGATATTTGGTACCATGATGTAAGCTGATAGCACAAGTTCTGGCGACAGGTAGCACATCCCTGAGAGACACCTGCAAGCACACACTGTCCCAGCTGGTACCCATAATGCTGCTGCTCCTGCTGCTGCTCCTGCTTTCGTCTCTTCTCGCTTTAAATGATTGTTAGCAAGTTAGATTTTCCTGGAGCTTCGAATGAAATGAAAGTGGAAACATGATGAAGATATATTCACTGAATCAACAGAAAAATAATGAACATATGAATACCACCTAAAAATACACTGAATAAAGTACTCTACACCATATAGCATTATTTTTATAAGAAATATTTCATGGCCCTTAAATATTCTTTGTTAGTTATAGGGATGGACAGTTTATGTTAAGCACTTAGCTTAAACAATCCATTTATATTAGCACTGTATCCCTTGTGCCATCCAACATTTTGTATGTTTTTGTAAACAGTTCATATACAGTACATTTCTGTACTGCTTTCTTTAATGTATACATGCCTTGTTTAACTTGGAATCTATTAATCAATTGACTATTAAATCTGATTAAATAGTTCACCTGGATTAACAGTATTGTTGAGAAACCCTAAAAATGGCCAGACTGATTGAACAGCTGTTGAATGTAATTCTTTCAAAATGTACATATCTTTCCCCATCTGTTTCACTGGTTTGTTCATTTTTTTCTTAAAGTCAGGTGCTCTGTCAGACTAACCTAGAGAGCTGTTAGTGGTAGAGGAAGTTGTGTGTGTGACATGTAATCAAGAATACACCTGTGAAGTTAGTCCATATACTTGGCAGTTCCTTAGGGTTCAGTTTTTCTCCTTAATTAAGGAAGCAGTCCTTGCACTTTTAACCTTACATAGTACCCGTACTTAGTATTTGGCATATCATTTGAAATTTTGCCAATATACATCAAAGGCCTTTAAAAGAGTCATAGTAAAGAAATTGGAAAAGGAAAATTTAGACACTGGTAATTGAAGCCTTACTGGATGTTTCATGTTTAGATATTCTATATCAAACCCTAATTTGAATGTAATAAAGGCCATAGGCTTCTATATGAAATTGAATTTAAGCTTGCTTTTCTAGGGAATAAAGCATTCTTGCTCAAACAATATCTGTTCTAACCTGAAGTCATAGCTAAGATAGGCTCAATGAATGTTCAGCACTGAATGTTTCCTAAATTCTGGCTAGTGATTTCTAGCCCTATGATGTTTCCTTTGACTTCAGAAGTGACCAGTTTTCATAATGGCCCCTGGATCCACTTAGATTGCAGTATTAGTGCATACGTCTAATGTGCTAGTTACCACAGACTTATTTGACAAAAGAAACTTCATCATTACCTATATCTTTGCCACACTACTCGGCATAAATTAATATGTAATGCGAAAAATATGAACAAAGGAAAAGTGATTTTACTTACCTCATCAGTCCAAATAGACCTTTGTAAGTCACTTTCTAAGCCGCTTACATCAGAAATCTTCTTCCCTGAGTACCAAGCCAAGAAAGTATAGTTTTACCTATGTCATAGAATTCCCTTGACAGTCCTTCATCTCTAACACTCCTTTTGCCCAGGTAACACCAAATGATTATTGTGTTAGGAGCACATGGACGTTTATCTTCTAAATGAAAACTGCAGATTAGGAAGATATCAGAAGTTTTACCTAACGTTTTTTGAAATTACTGAGTATATGGATGCTAATCATTAAAAGCTGCTTCCCATTGCCTACAAAGAAAGCTTTTTTCTCTTCTGTTCAGTACTTTAAACCACAGTCAGTCCTCCTGAGCTGTTACATTTTTTTAAACGTTAATATAATGCTGAGAGGAAAATACAGTTTCAGAATTTTAACACTGATGCTATTCCTATATCTTCTTAGGTATTTTGACCATCATAGCCCTTTAGAACTAGAAGTAACCATATAAATTCTTATAAATTACCAGGTTAAATCTTTCCATATTGTATGTAAAGAATCTCAGACCCAAATCAATGACTAGACTCTTTAACTTCTGTCCCCATTAGTTTCTTTTTCCTCATAACACCATGCTGCCTTTCCTTCATAATACCACCTGACTAGTATCTGAATTCAAAAACCATGTATTTCTTAGGGCAGTCCTTTACTTACAAGACCAAGTTTATTTCCTTCAAGGATAATTGCCTGCTTTCTCTAGTCAGACTGCCAGTTTTATTGGAGAAAAGCAAGTTACATATTCACAAAAGTGAAGGCCTTCTGCCAAAACAGTTTAGGTGCATAAATGATTCCATCTGTGGTCCTGGTGTTCCCATTGTGTTTGGGAAACGTAGCTGACAATGTCCTCTAAATGTAGTACTTGTGCTGGGGTTAGCCTTTCTATTCATTTTTGCAAAGTCCGTTTCTTCCTGGCCACTATACTTATGATATTGAGGGCCCTGAAGTCTTCTGCCCTTCACCCATTGCTGCCAATTTCTGGGATTTATCCCAGGAGTTGTCAGTCTAGTCTTTATGTTTTACTGAACGAAGGAACTAAACTGTCAGGACTCTTTTACAAGCATCTCTTTGTTTATAATGCAACATAATATTCCAAATGATAGAATTGCACTTAACCTAGCCAAGCATATACTAGACAGTATGAATTCAATACCATGTATTTTGTATCTTCCCTTTCAAGCGATGATGTTAAATTAAGGTAAGTTTTTTTTTCTTTTTCTTTTTATGAATCATTTCAGCTCCTTCTGTTTATAGAGGTATTTCTAAGTACATCAGACACTTGAACAGATTTGATGTGGATTTATTTTTCAAAATCACCCCCAAAAGTCTAAAAATAATTCTGGCAAGACCTAAAGTCAAGATGCTGCAAGGCTGGCATGTGGGAAGTGTTGGTTGTGAGTATTTGGAGGGAGGATGCGGGGTATATGTGGTAGAGTTTCCACATTTCACATGCATTGCACTCCAAAGAACGATTTGGGGTCAAGCATTTCCCATCTGTTCTTTAGAAATGGCTTCTGTTGGGGGTCAGAAGACATCAGGGGAAGGGGAGGATCCCCTTATCTGTACCCATACCCTCAGCTCAGGAAAGATTTGAACAGAGGGTAGGTGCAGAGGCTTCAAGAGAAGTCAGAATGTATTTGACAGGAAAAGGATCAGGGAGGCTCAGCCTGGGATAAGAGTTGGCAAAAAGTATTCAAATTTTGGGGACTTTGTATAGATGTGTTTAATCACTGTGGAGGCCAGTAACATATCTATCCCAACATGACTTTGATAGTCACTATTCCCTGGCCTTTAGTAATTACCTACAGTAGTTGAGGTTATTTTAATCTCTTTTTAAAGTAAGTTCTGACTTGTGGTATTGAGCATTTGAGACTTGTGAAAGTATTCAGAGAGATGACTCTGGACCGTTAGGAATCAGAAAGTCTGTTTTCTGTGACTCACAAATAGAGTGGATTCCATGGCTGATCTTGGTGCTTAAACCAGGAGGGTCCAGTCTAACCTTTTATTTGTCCCTCTGCAAGATCCAACTCCCTGTGAAAACTGGATGTATACTTTGAGCCTTATTTAAATCACAGATAAGTTGACTTAATTCAGTATTTTTATTTCAATTAATGAAAATAGTCCTCTTTTCAACCCCAGGTTGCTTACATTTTGCTGATCTCCCCAAATGACCATTGGTGGAGACCAATTAATGAAGGAATGAATTAACTTTCTTGAGACTGTGGTATTCTACAGAGTCACACTTAACCACTTTTTTCAGTGAAGAATCTACACATTGATAATACCAAAATATGGATGGCCAAGAAGAATTTGTATCTACGGTGTGCTTTGTGTATTTTTGACACTGCTGTATTCTGTGTTTACCAAGTGATTTGTAACTGATTCCAATGTGACTGTTCTAAAAATTTCTAGTAATTTAGTCAACTTAGGTTTCTTAATGGTATCACTATAGGTCTCACATTTACCACTTTTATTCAAGTCTTTTAACTGTTCATAATGAGGCATAGCAAGGGTTGGCATGAGAGCCTACTTCCTACCTCTTAAGGCACTTTCCTCATTTTGCCATATAACCTTGAACTGCATGATAAGCTGTTGAAATGGTCATGACTTCTCCCAGAGCAACTAGCAAAGTATATGGCATTTTGAATAGAAATTAGTGGAAAAGAAAATTTAGGGATTTTTAAATACAGCTGTGCAAACCTCAAGACGATGTCTTTAGAGCACATACCAATTAAGTACAGTATATGAAAATGTATATGAGAAGAGAGTCGCGATAATAGTTCTCTCTAAGTAGATTAGTTCAATGTCTAGTGAAAGTGAACATCTTTATTCCTGTTATTACTGTAGTACTGGTTGAACTGTATACTGAGTTTTTCAAACAAGTATTTAAAATATAAATTTTAAATACAAAGCAAGGGCATAAGGATAAAGATTTTGGATTGTGTTTCTATAAGTGTAGTTTACCATCTAAAGCTTTGTTTTTTAATTTAAAAGAAATTTCAAAGTATTGCCATTTGTTAGCATCCTTAGTAATTATGAGTGATGAATTTGTAACTCAAAATCATATACATGTAAAACTCTTGCCCTAAATAAAAGGGAAGGTATACACCTAAAGGATGTAATTATTTTGCAATTTTGGCTATGGGTGGGAATGGGGTGGGTACTACTTAAGCAGTTTTTAAAAAAGAAAAAAAATCACAAATATTTTTCTACTATTATATACGATCTTACTTTCTACTACTTTCTCTCTAGTAAGGCATGCCAGAAGCCCAAGCAAGGTACCATATCATGAGTTCTTCTGTGTTGTACCTCTCATTGGTGGTTAAAGCACATCAGATGCTTGGCACTGCTGCCATAACTATGAAATGCTTGTAAGGATCAGATTTCGCTGAATACTTTAAATTGTTTTACTTCAGAGTCTAATCTGGGAAGTTTGAATCATACTATTAATGTGTAATCTAAGCTCTTTCTGATGTATCCATGAATAATCCTGGAACAATACTGCTTGTATTCCTGTCACAGAACAGGTTTTGTAATCTTTAAAAGAAATGAAAATTTATATAATAAAGTTTCAAGTAAAGCATGTATGTCCCTTTTATGATATTTTTATTATATGATTAGAACTTTATAATATCATTTTTTGTCCAAATTGTATTTGTGAAATTGTATTGATAGAACTAACAGGAATATTTCTGATTTAATAAGGGCAAAATAAATTTATTATGCATCATCTTAATGGACTTGCCCAATCAACCTCTCATAAGACAAACATCTTGCGCAGTATCAAGGCTGATTAGTGATTTGAAAGCCAGGCACAGAACAAACATTCTTAGAGAAGTCCAAACCAGGCTTGGCCCCCAAAATGCTTCTTTCTTCTTTGTTACAGTGTATTTTGGATTTCCTTTTGCTATCCTGACTGAAAGTTGTAGCCTCATAGTTTGATCACCCAAACTTCCCTCTCAAAACCATCCTGAACTTTGTTACATCTTTGCCCTTATACTGTTCCTGCTGAGCAAGCAAAACTCCAGTCTTTGGTGTTTGGTTGATTCTATTGATACACTTCTGGATACTGTATGTTTTATGAAGCCATATAATTATGCCTGGCATTAAGCTTGTGGCAGTCCTGTCTCTGCCTCCCAAGTGCTAGAATTATAGGCATGAGCCACCACACCGAGTTCCCGCTTCTCTTAAAAATATTTTTATTGAGCCGGGCATGATGATGCACGCCTTTAATCCCAGCACTCGGGAGGCAGAGGCAGGCAGATCTCTGTGAGTTCAAGGCCAGCCTGGTCTACATAGTGAGTTCCAGGACAGCTGGGGCTACAGGGAGACCCTGTCTCAATAAAAGACCAAAACATATTTTTATTGAAATAGAATTCATGTGCCATAAAGTACACCCATTTAAAATGTGTAGTCCAAGCCAGGCTTGGTGGAACACTCCTATTATCCAAGCACTCGAGAGACAGAGGCAAGTGGTTCTCTGTGAGATCGAGGCCAATCTTGTCTACATAAGGAGTATCAGTTCAGTTGGGGCTACAGGGAGACCCTGTCTCAGAAAGACAAATACATACATACATACATACATACATAGTACAATTTAATTTTTTGGATATTTTAAGTTATACCCCTTATTATAATCTAAAGTTTTAGAACATTGCCGTGATCCCCAAAGAAGCCTTGTATGCTTTTCCAAGCCACTGTTGTCTCTTGCTTGGGCAATTGCAGTAACCTCATGTATGGTTTCTACCTGTATATATTATAGTCTATACAGATAAGCCAAAATTATCCTGTTTAAAACCAACTAAAGGCTACAAGTGATTTGGTCTCCTTACATCTCTAACCTTGAGCTTGTCTCTCTCCCATGCGCTTCCCTGGCTTACTGCATTCCTAGCCAAGCTGGCCTTGCTACTTCTTGATCATATATTCCACTCATGGTCCTTGGCCTCACTGTTTTCTCTGCCTATGCATTTCCCCATATGTTCACATGATTCACCTCAGTGATCCCAATACTCAGATATGGGACACATGCTAATGTAAACAAATAAAACATGTTTATTTTCTCCTTTAAGGTTTTCTATCAGGTAGTTGATTTTTAAACATGTAGAACTTCTGTACACTTGGAATATGATTACTTTTGTATGAGACATAATTGCAAAACACTAAACAATCAATTCCTGCAACAATCCAAAGTGGAAAGCACTATTCCTATACCTAATTTACAGATGAGAAAACTAAGGCTTATAAAAAAGATGATATGCCTGGGGCTGGAGAGATAGCTCAGTGGTTAAGAACACTGGCTGTTCTTGCAAAAGACCCAGGTTCGATGCCCAGCACCCACATGGCAGCAAACTGTCTTAACTCCAGTTCCAGGGGATCCGATGCCCTCTTCTGATCTCCCCAGGCGTTGCACAATATGGATACACTTACATACGTGCAAGCAATACATTCATACACATAAGAATGTTTTAAATTTTTTTTATTTTTATTTTATGTGTATGTGTGTATATGTGTGTATTGCCTGCATGTAGGGTAAGTGCACCCGTGTCGTGTAAGGCCCACAGAGGACAGAAGAGGCTATCAGATCCCCTGGAACTGGAGTTATGGACAGTTGTTAGCTGCCATGTGGGATTCAAACCTGGGTCATCTGCAAGAACAGTCACTTCTTTACTGAGCCATCTATCCAGCCCCAAAATTTTTTTAAAAAGATGATATGCCTGTCGAAGATCATAGAGTAATAAATTGCTGTAGAATCTGAATTTGAATCCAGAACTCTAAAACTCCAAAACCCAATCTTGTAATCATTTGAACTTTAAGCAAGATTTAAATAAAGACTTCATCCTTAAATGTGTAAATTGTGGCTGGGCCTTGTGGCACATGCCTACATTCCAAGCACAATAGAGCTGGAGGAAGCCTGTGCTTCTATCTCAAAAAAAGGAAGAAAAGTGTAAGTTGCAGAACACTGCAAATGAACAGAGAAACCCAGAACTTTTGCTCCCCTGTCATCTTTTAATTGCCTATGGGAAGTAGGTCTGTTGTTGGTTTCTCAGCCTCAGTTCTACTGATATTTTTGGACTGGATAAGCTTTCACTGGGGACAGGGGTTTTAGTGTGCACTATAGGATGTTTAACAGCATCTCTGGTCTCTCTACCCACTAGATGCAAACATCATTGATCCCTTCTTCCTCTTGTGACAACCAGCTATGTCTCCAGACACTGCCAAATGTTATGTGGTTATATTTAATCTGCATTTACATACGCCTACTTCCTTAGTGAGAGAATGCTAAAACTCATTGTTTCCAGAAAGGTAATTTATCTTAAATAAATATTTTTAATTTTTGAATTTTTTTTTGTGTATGAGTGTCTTGCCTGCATTTATGTAAGTGCACCACATGTGTGCAATACCCAGGGAGGACTTAAGAGGGTGTCACATTCATTGGAACTAGAGATCTAGATGGATGTTAGCCACCATGTAGGTGCTGGGAGCTGAACCCAGGTCCTCTGAAAGAGTAGCCAGTGCTCCTAGCCTCTGAAGCCACTTCTCCAGTCCCCAGATAAATGTTTTTAAATTTTATTTTTTATTATTGGGGAGGGAGCACATATGGAGGTCAGAGGACATCTTTATGGAGTTTTCTTAACCACCTTTACATGAATTCTAGGAACTGAACGCATGTTGCCAGGCTTGCCTGGCAAGCACTTTTGCCATCTTGCTGATCCAAATAAGCCTTTTCTTCTGTTTCACTTTGCTTTGCTTTGCTTTGAGACAGGGTCTCCCTGTAGCCCCAGTTAGCCTGGAACTTGCTATTGTAGTCCTGGCTGGCCTCTGTCTCACAGAGATCTGCCTGCCTCTGCCTCCTGAGTGCTGGGATTAAAGGCATACGCCACCATGCCCAGCTAAATAAGCCCTATTTTGAAATAAAGCTATTTGCTCTGAGTAGCCATGTGATATTTCTTTGCTAGGATTGCCGGAACAGAGAATTAGAATGGGTTTTTTAACTACAGAAATTTACTTTCTCTCAGCTGTGTTGTGTTCGGTCTCACTGTGCAACCCAGGCTGGCATCAAACTTGCAGTGTTCCTCCAGCCTCAGCCTCAACGTGTGGTGGGATTATAGATGTGATCTACCAGGCCTGGCTACTACTTTTTCTGTTTTGAAGGCTACACAGCTGAGATTAAGATACTGGCAAGTTTGGTTTCTTCTGCGTCTCTTTTTTGTGGCTTGTAGCTGAGTGTCTCTGGCTCACACAATGTCCTTTATGCCTAGGTCTTAATATCATTTCCTAATAAGGACATTAGTCATACTAGTGTAGTGGCAAGCCTTAACACCCCATTTCAATGTAATCACCTCTTTAAAGACCGTCCGTATCTCCAAATACAGTCATAATGCCGAGATATTGAAAGTTAGAACTTAAACGTATAAATTTTGGAAGAACATAGTTCAGCCTCTAACTTTTCCCATCCCTTTCTTTTGTCCTGTGTGTGCAGAGCAACCTACTATGTACCAGAGACTCTGTTAAGCCCTGGCAATAACCAACAAACGTGGTTATAGTAAGGTAGGGAAGACAGATTTTCTTCTAAGCACCATACAAATATTCAGCTTTGGAAATGGATGACAAGACGGCCTTCCCCCTTCCCCGCAGACGTCCCAATCCTGACTGGGCGGGTGAAGTAGCCACATGAAAACGCATCTAAGCATGAGGTTAATGAGTCAGCAACTTGTCAAGCCCCGACTAAGGAAGCAGTAGATGGTGTCTCAGCCAGCAGCCTGTGCTTCCTCAATTCCCCTCCGCCCCTCTTTTGGGACGCAGAGCCCGGTCAGGCCCCTTCCGGATCCAGAGCCCAGCGGCCGAGACTCCGCCCCCTATCTGGGCTCCACCCTCCACGTGAGGCCCCTTCTCTCAGCGTGCGTTTCCAGCGGCTGACCGCCCTCCCAGTTGAAGCCGCTCCCTCGTCTCACACCAGACTTTCTCGGCCACGCCTGCGCCGTGGAGCCGAGTAGCGGGGGGAACATGAGGCCCCGCGGGCGGGGGAAGAGGAGGGCCCGGGAAAAGCACCGCCCGACGCCGGGACGCCATTTGCCGTAGCCGAACGTGGGTGCAGGAGGCTCTCGGAAGCAACCCGTGGCCGACCTCTCCCGACCACGTTTCTCTGCTTCCCTCTCCGACTTCATCCCGCGCTCTCCACAGCGTCGTCCATCGGAGCCGCAGCGGTCCTTGACGCCTCCAGCCGGTCTTCACCGCCATGCCCAAGAATAAAGGTAAAGACTCCGGTTTCGCGGGACTGCCGCTCCGCTCCCCGGCGGGCGTCCCCAGCCCTGCTCGCGGCCTCTGGGTCAGCCCAGGCCTCCATGACCTTCCTGCCAGTCTTCCCCGCCTCTGCTCAGGACAGATGCTCCGCGTGCCGCTTGGAGCTCGGCAGAGGCACAGGGAAGTTACTCCTGGTTCCTAGTTTGGTCACATTGGGGTGGAGCCGACGCCATTTTTTTGTAGGGCCTCCTGTGGGAGAATGTGGGCTTGTACCCCTGATTCGCGCCACGCCGCTGACCGCGACGCCATAGGGACCCGTAGGGACACCTGCCTTGGGCCTCTGGGGCTTCCGGCGTGTGGGAAGTTAAGCCCTGGGCATGACTCTGAACTTTGAAAAGGGTGATGCCTGCTTTCCAGCCCATCTGGTATCTCCTGCATAGGCTACTTTCTGGACACTTTGTTCAGTATTGTAACCACTGGGCGATATTTTGATGCATTTTTAAACTTTATCTCTAGACAGTTACTTTGTTCCATAGCTTTACAGGGTTTAACTTATTTTTCTTTTTTTCCCCCAAAGCGCTTGACTCATATTTAGCCAACTTTGCCAGTTTTGCTTCAGATCATGTATATTCTGATAGGAAAGTAAGTACCTTTGAAGTTCCCTCCATTCTGGGAATAAATACAAGTAGTAAGACTTGAGGATACTTTTATTTGGGATTTCTAAAATGGAGAGCATAATCTAAATGGAAGTAGACTGTTCCTAAAATCAATTTCATTTTCATACTTTTAACCGTGTTTCATGCCAGTGATCTTCCGTCCCTCTTTTGATGAAATTAAACCTAACCCTGTGCTTCCCACCAGCCAGTGCTGTACCTTTTGCTCTGTCCCCTCCTCTAGTCCAGAACTCACTCTGTGGCCCAGACTAGCACTGAACTTGGGCTCCTCCTACTTCAACCTCCTGAGTAGCTGGAATTATATAGCATACTCGTTATGATCAAAATTGTGCAAGTACAAAAAGGGAAAAAAAACTTGTATTTCCTGCAGGAGAGGAATATATTACACTGCCCATAAGAAGTCTTGATTATTCATCCTTAGGACCATCTCCCTTGCCCCACGGCTAGTAGTGTTCTCCTTTCTGCTTGAGTGTTGGCTTCAGGGAGTCTTCTTCGTGGCTCTTTGTGCCTGTCCCTGTTCACATTTTTTCCTCGGAGTCCTTGGTCACAGTTCTGTGGACAACTTGATTTGAGAGAGGGTCGTCCCGTCGTCTCTTTGCCTCCACCTTGCTGACTGTCCCCAGAAATCAAAATGTTTAACAAGAACTTTTACTAATCCTGGGGAAAATGGGGTTGGTATTTTCAAATTCTTACAGTCTTATCTGTAGAGTTCTTTATTCCGAGATGGATCACTCAATAGGTGTCTTATTTTCAACTTTATTCCTAGTGACTAGATTTCCACTTCGCACACTAGACTGTAAGTCCTAAAAAGACAGGAATACTGTCGGTCTTAATCACTTTGCCTTGATAGCACTTAGCCTAAAAGATGCTCAATAAATATTTGTTGGTCTCAGTCACATCCTTTCTGGTGACTCCACCTATAGGTGAAGAAAACTAGGTTCTCCTTTGGATCCAAGGAGACAGCTTAGTGTAGATTAAATCAACATCTATTCACTAGCCTAGAGTCTTGCTTTAAAAGACATCCCGTTTGGGGAATTTCTCTGGAAAACCTGTGAATTTGAGACTTTTGATCGACTTTAAAAGCTAGCTATTCTTTTAGAAAGCAAGCAAGATTTTTTTAAAGAAAGGATTATTTATTGCCACTTTGTCAAACACTCAAGCTTGATCTCATTCTTTCAAGAGAGAATTTGAAGAGCACATCATTTTTTGGCAATAAAATAGAAAAGGGAAGTATTAGCCCAATGTGTTGGTCATGCCTGTGATCCCAGTACTTTGGAGGCTGGGAGGGAAGGAGTGTGAATTCGAGGCCTATCTGAGTTACAAAGTAAGATTATACTTCACTCCCTTCCCGCTCCCTAAAAAAAAGATGAAAGACGGGGGTAAGAACGAATACATTATATAAAATAACATGGCACCTGAAAAATCTATTGCTTTTGAATTTGACAACATAGATTGACTTAGAGACATCTATTCACCCATCTCTGGTACCAGTCATTCCTATACTTGAACAGTAAATCTGTTGTCTTAATTATTCATTAAATTACTTAAAGGAAAGATACTTTTCAAGACCGTACAACTTTATGGGGTTTAGAAATATAGAAATAAACTGTAGTGTTCTCTCTCAGGATTTTCATCACTGGAAAATCCAAAGACTATAGTGTCTTGTGGTGGTAACAATTGCATGAAGCTGGGCGTGGTGGTACACACCTGTAATCTCACAGGTTTGAGGCCAACCTGGTATGCATAACAAGTTCTAGGCTGGCCAGGATTACATAATGAGATTCTGTCTCAAAAAAAAATGTAATGCTATGAACTGTATTGTATGTTGTGCAACTTTTGCTTTGTACTGGTGGGGTTGGAGGTAAGATGGAGTCTTACCTATAGTCCAGGGTGACCTTGAACTCAACAGTCTTTATGCCTCAACTTAAATTTCCTCAAAAAAGTTTGAGAGACTCCTCAAATCAGGATAAAGAATAACCCTTGTCCCAGTCTCGAAGAGCATTTGAGTGAAGTGCTTCATGCACTCTTGGAAGAAGTTACTATGATTTTAAAATCACCACTCTTCATTGGGCCTTGTGGTGCATACCTTTAATCCAAGCGCTTGGGAGGTAGAGGCAGGCAGGTGGATCTCAAGGCCAGCCAGCTACATATTGAGAACCTGGTCTCAAAAAAGAAAAAAATTCACCTCCTCAAGGAATATATGGACTATTCTTGACTAGTTTGCTAAAGTCAGCTATAGCAGTATAATCTTTACCCTTAATGTAACTGGTGCTCTAGAATGAAGATCTAGCATCTATATGTGCTTGAGGTATTTTTCTCTGTCTAGGAAATAAGCTTCTCTGTGCCCTAAGAACACCTCAAATACTGAACTGTAAACAGTCAGGTTGGATCAGGAAATTGTATGGGACCCACCTAATACCCACAGAGCAGGATGACACCATCCCAAGTACAAATTCAAGAAGTTAAAAGTAGGTCTTTTCAGTGAGAGGCCAGGTATACATTCTAGATTGTATGTGGGTTGTGAACATTTTGCTGTTCCAAGCTTTCCCACGAGGCCCTTAGTAGCACTATCATTGAAGAGTGGCCTTTCTCTCACCTTTTGGAAGTGGTTCCAATGTGGCTTAAGTTTTCAACTAGGGTGAAAATGCTGTGGAGAGGGCCTGGCAAGGTGGATGGCTCAGGAGTGAAAGGTTTCCCAAGCAAGCCTGGCACCCTGAGTTCGATCCCTGGCACCCCCATGGTGAAAGGAGAAAACTGACTCCCACAGGTTACCCTCTGACCCTCACACATGCACCGTAGCATGCATGCGTGCGTGCACACACACACACAAACAATAATGAATAGTTGATAAAATTCTGTGGAGTGGTGCCCTGATGTAGGGATTAGGAGCAAAATAGGATTGGCTGTGAATCTGGTCACCCTACACAATGAATCTTAGGTTTCTGGGCTTCAGTAAACTTACAATTTAAAACTGGGAATGAAGGCGGGTGTGGTGGCACACGCCTGCAGTCCCAGCACTTGGGAGGCAGAAGCAGGTGGATCTCTGGCAGTTCAAGGCCAGCCTGGTCTACATAGTGAGTTCCAGAAAAAAAACAAAATTGTCAAAGCTAGGAAGGGGCAGAACTTGAATGCTTTAGACACAAGGCCAGCTTTATTGGTCCAAGAGCCATTGCTCTCCAGTACAAATACTTTTTACTTCGAGGGTCCATAAAGGTCAATACCCTCAAGGTTCTTTATGGTATCACTTGTGGACCATGCCACCAAATCAGTTATTTGAAGACAGGTTTTCTATACCATCCCTTTCATAAGAGTTATCTATTGCCACATAGCAAATCACCACAAACTTAGCAGCTTAAAATAACACACATTTACAATTGTAGAACATATGGGTCAGGAGTCCAGACATGGCTGTGCTGGATCCTCTGCTTAAGGTGTCAGCCAGGCTGCATTCTTATGTGAACAGTCATGTTCAAGTTCACTCAAGTTATTCCCCTTGGCAGTATTCTTTCTTTCCTTTTTTTAGATTTATTTTATTTTATTTTTCTGTCCTACAATACTACTTTATTCAAAACTGGAGGGTTTGTTTTTTCATCAGACAGTAGTATTACAAATCTCTTATGAAATTGACTATTTTAAGCTGGGCGTGGTGGTGCATGCCTTTAATCCTACACTAGGGAAGCAGAGGCAGGCGGATCACTGTGAGTTCAAGGCCAGCCTGGTCTACATAGTGAGTTCCAGGACAGCTGGGGCTACAGGGAGACCCTGCTTCAAAAAGACAAGACAAAAAAAAAAAAAAAACCTGGGAATGAGTGACTGTTACCTCCAGGGTGAAAATCTTTTGTTCTAATCTGGTTTTACAGATGCAAAAAAACAAAGTAGAAGATTAACATTTTCCTAATAACTGAGGGGTTTGTGTGAAAGCTCTGGGCATCTTTTTACTCTCTTCCTGTGTTCTTCCTCTCCACATTTGGTCACAATTCTCTTGTTTCCCACCCCTGAAAGATTTCTCTTCCTCGTGGTGTGCTCCAGGCTGGGTCTGCTTTCTTCACTTATCATAAGGACAGTGATATTAACAGTTTTCCCAGCCACAGTATCTTACCACACTTCTGCCTTTGCTTGATTGACTTTTTTAAGATTTTTCCTAATTATGTGATTATGTAATGCAGGATATGCACACATGTGAGTACAGTGTCCACAGATGCCAGAAGAGGGCATCAGATCCCCTGGAGCTGAGTTAAGGAAGATGGGAACTGGGAACCAAACAGATCTTATGCAAGAGCAGTGCACAGTTCTAAACTGCCAAACCATCTCTCTAGCCCCCATGTTAAAGGGTTTTATTATTTAAATCTTTTAATACTAAATACAGGTACACGATTTAAATTTTCAACATAAAAAGTGAACCCTCTTCCCAAGTGTCTCTGCTGCCTGTCCTTTTCACAGCTGGTCACTGCTTTTACTTAACTCTGTCTTCCCAGAAATACTTTATATATATTTAAGCCAATAAGAGTATGTATTTCCATTTTAATGCCACTGCTAAGTTTTTTATTCTTCTCTACCGTCCTTTCTTATTTTTAGAAATATTTATTTTTAGTTTATGTGTATGAGTGTATTGCCTGCATGTATGTAAGTACGCCTGTGTTGTGCAGTGCCATGGAGGTCAGAAGAGGGTGTTGGATTCCCTGGAACTGGAATTATAGATGATTGTTAGCCTCCATGTGGGTGCTAGGAACTGAACCTGGGTCCTCTGCAAGAGCAGCTAGTACTCTTAACTGCTGAGCCATCTCTCCAGCCCCCTCTTGCTTAATTTTTTTAAAAAATGTAAGAATCCTCTTGTTGCAACCTCATGAGTTGCAAATGTGCACCACCGTGCCCAATTTTCCATCTGTTTTGTTTGTTTTGTCTTCATACTGTCTCATAGACTTACTCCTCACAGTCTAGATTTTGTTGATTGCATCCCTGTGTTCTCTGCTATTTCATTTTTAATAGATGTTTTTTAAAGCAATTTCAGGTTTACAGAAAGAGGAGCAGCATGTGTAGAGTCTCATATAACTCCCCAACCCACTTTTATCCTTGTGAGAATCTTGTATTAGTGTGATATTTGTTCAGTTTGCAAGGGATACATTAGTTATTAGCCAAAGTTCCTCGTTTACATTAGGGCTCACACATACATACACCATTATAGTGGAATGCTGTTCAGTTAACCAAACCTAAAATTGTTCCATGTTCCAAATATTTATCTTTCCCTCCAGACTCCTGGCACCACTACTCTTCTTTTACTTTCTCCATAGTTTTGCCTTTTTTTCAGAGTGTAATGATTAAATAGTTAGAATCAGAGTATGTGACCTGGACAGACTACCTTCTCTCACTTAACAGTATGTACTTAAGGTTCTTCCATGTCTTTTCAGGGTTTCATAGTCATTTGTTTGTTTGACAAGATAAAATCCAGACACTTAAGGTTGCTAGTCTTATTCTTCCTCCATCATAAAAGTCTGTTCCATTAACTTCATATCCTCTCTCCTGTCATCTTTTTGCCTATGCTCTTCTTTCATGAGGGGTCAGGTATAAGGACAAGGCACTTTCAGAAAATTTATCAGGACCCAATATGATGCCAGTGTGGTAGCTCATTTCTGTAATCCAGCACTCAGAAGGCTGAGACAGGAAGATGACCCCAATTCCAAGTTCAGACTGGGCTAGAGAGTGAGACCCTATCTCAAGAAAAATAAAAAAAGACAAGAAAAAAACACCATGTCCCAGTATGGATTCTGGAATAAGAACAAATGTTCTGAATTGGAGCCTAATGTGACAGCTGCAATAGGAGCAGACACAGATTAAGAGTAAACCTGGACTCCCTCCCTCATTGACTATAGTCTGGAGTGAGTTCTTTAACTTCTGAACTTTAGTAAACTTACTGGTAAGCCAGGAATAAATGACTATTAATACTCGACATGATCCTGGCAAGTAGGGGTGGTATTTTCAAATAGTGATTAGGAGCATGGTGACTGTGGTCATCTAACAGAAATGGGGGTATCAGTCAAGAGACACCGTTTTTGTTTAACTTTTTGCAGATAATTGAGATCTTTTTCTTTTTTTACAAACCTCTAGGTAAAGGAGGTAAAAATAGACGTAGAGGTAAGAATGAGAATGAATCTGAAAAGCGAGAGCTGGTGTTCAAGGAAGATGGGCAAGGTAAGTTTGATAAATTAGGATCTTGTTAGGTTTGCTTGTTTGGTTTCCTGTGTTGGGAATCAAACTTGGGGCCTTGTGCATGCTAGTCAAGTATTCTGCCACTGAGCTGTGTCCCCTGCCCTCGTGCTCTACATATAAGCCACTAAAATTGAAACATTTTCTGGCTTAGAAACTGGGTTTCTTGGCCTTAATCATTTCTGCTTTCTTTAGAGATTGCATTTATTCAGGCAGACAGTGTATATTTTTCTGTATATGTTTCACTGAATTTACAAGCTATCTTCGAGGGGTTAGTCTTTTTGTTTAAATTAATTTTTATTTTACATGTATGAGTGTTTTGCCTACATGTATGTAAGTGCACCTTTGCATGATATGCCTACAGAGGCCAGAAGGGGGTGTTAGAACCCCTGAAACTGGAGTTACAAATAATTGTTTAGCTGTCATGTGGTGCTGGGATCCAAACCCAGGTCCTCTGCAAGAGCAGCCAATGCTCTTAACCACTGAGACGCTTCTCCAGTCCTCTTGAGGTAACAAAAAGCATCTGAGGTAATGTATCCCCTGAGTGCTGATGCCATCACCTTTAGACTTTCATAAATTCCTCAGTAGTTTTCATTGGCAGAGAAATTGAATAGCTTCCTAGGTACCCTTTTGAAAAGAATCTGGCAAACAATTTGGCATTTTCCTTGGAGTGTCTTTCTAGTTTTCTGAAAATAATCTATCAACATTATGCTAATTTAATAAGAACTTCACTAACTCTTAAGGAACTTGTACTAAAAATTCCATGAGATTTCCCTGTAAAAATTCCAAGATGTGTGTTGGCACATAACATTTAAACCCAGGCAGACAGATCTCTGAGTTTGAGGCCAGCCAGGGCCACGTAGTGAGACCCTCACCTCAAAAAAGAAAAAAGAAAAGAAAGATCCCAAGGGAAGAGTAAGGATATGGAAAGGGTAAGAATCTGATCTGAATGTGAGATTGGTAGATAAAGTGTACATATTGTACACAACCTTTGATCTCTGGAAGTAGAGCATAGAGTCATGAGGGCAGTAGTTACACTACTTATTCAAAATGAGTAGACAATTAAAGCACCTAATAACAGACCCCAGTTGTACAAATGGCATTATAAAGTTTTGGCTCTGGGTCAGCTTTTAACTAGCTTGATCTTTAACTCCCTTTTATTTATTTGTATTTTTACTATGTATATTTATTCCCAACCAGTGCAACACTGTTCTTTTATCATTAAAAAAAAGGAATATTTCATATCCTTTTCCTCACCCCTTCCCTGCAGAATATGCTCAGGTAATCAAAATGTTGGGAAATGGACGACTAGAAGCAATGTGTTTTGATGGTGTAAAGAGGTTATGCCACATTAGAGGGAAATTGAGAAAAAAGGTAAGTCTGGAGGTTTGTTTTATTCTAATCAAAAAGTGTTTAAGGATGGGGCAAAAAGGAATATTTCATATCCTTTTCCTCACCCCTTCCCTGCAGAATATGCTCAGGTAATCAAAATGTTGGGAAATGGACGACTAGAAGCAATGTGTTTTGATGGTGTAAAGAGGTTATGCCACATTAGAGGGAAATTGAGAAAAAAGGTAAGTCTGGAGGTTTGTTTTATTCTAATCAAAAAGTGTTTAAGGATGGGGCAAATTAATTTGTGTGTGTGTGTGTGTGTGTGTGTGTGTGAGAGAGAGAGAGAGAGAGAGAGAGAGAGAGAGAGAGAGAGAGTGTTTCTGGGACTATACCCCAGTGCCTTTTACATGTTAATTACTACCACACTCTACCACTGAGCCTCCTATCAAGTCAAGCTACAGATGACATTGTTAAAAGTATCATTTGCTGCTGGTGCGTGGTGGCACACACCTTTAATCCCAGCACTCGGGAGGCAGAGGCAGGTGGATTTCTGTGAGTTTGAGGCCATCCTGGTCTCCATAGCGAATCCAGGCCAGCTGCGGCTACAGGGAGACCCTGTCTCAAAAGGGCCCCCCCCCCCAAAAAAAAAAAGTATCATTTGCCTCACCTATCTTATATTCCTGCCTAAAATGTTTAGACTGAATCTGAATCATAGGAAATAACAAATCCAAATTGAGGAACATTCTGCAGAATGTTAAGAAAGGAAAAGAGGCTAGGGAACTATTCTAATTTTAAGGAGCATTAAGAGACCTGGCAAATGGCCCTTGTTTGGATTTTTAGAAATCTCACCTCTGAGGTGGATGGGTGGATAAGTGGATGGATGTTAATCCTTCAGAAAGAAAAGAGATCCTCAAAGCTGTATACACCTGCATGAGTCAAGGACAAGAAGACAGATTTATAAAGTCATATCATTTTCTATTTCGCAGTAGAAAACTGCTTGGAGTGGTTTGTGAACACAAATCTCTTTAGTTTCTAAGTGAATCATTTACTGTGGAATTTCTTGATTCCTTTTTATTTAAAGTACATCATGCAGTGACTTCTTTTGTAGGTTTGGATAAATACCTCAGACATCATATTGGTTGGCCTCCGAGATTACCAGGTAAAAATTACATCTTAATTTTTTTATTATTTGCTTGAATTTGATGATCCTTTTCCTAATAGTCACTAGTGTTTAGACACTGCTTGTTGTCACTGGGATTATGGTTCCCAGGTGCCAAAGGAGTTATCCCATACATTTTTTAAAATATTTTTTTATGTGTATTGCCTACATGTATGTAAGCACACCCATGTGTGCAATGCCCATAGATATCAGAAGAGGGTGTTGAATGCCCTGGAAGTAGAGTTATGGATGGTTGTTACCTGTCATATGGGTGCTATAAACAAGGTGCTCTGCAAGAACAGCCAGTGCTCTTAACTGCTGGAGTATTCCTCCAGCCCTGCATACATGGGTTTTTTTTTGTTTTGTTTTGTTTGTTTTTGTCTTTTTTGAGACAGGGTCTCCCTGTACCCACACCTGGCCTAGAACTCACTATCACTATGTAGTACTCTCAAAGAGTACTGCCTCCTGAGTACTGGAATTAAAGGCATGCACCACCACACCCAGCTAATTTTTATAAAGCAAAATATAGATTCTCTTTGTCTTTTTGAAACAGGGTCTCCCTGTAGCCACAGTTGGCCTAGATTCACTATGGAGACCAGGCTAGCCTGAGATGCCACCATGCCTGGCTCTTTTTCTTATCTAGTTTAGTTTGTGTGACACTTGCCTGGGTGTATTACATATACCACATGCATGTAAGCTTTTAGGAGCTGACATGTGCATTCTGGGAACTGAGACCAGGTCCTTTGGAGGAGCAGTAAATGCTCTTTAACTGCTGAGACATCGCTCTAACTCCCCACCTTTTTTTTTTTCTTTATTGGGGGTCTTTTTCAGACAAGGTCTCCCTGTAGCCACAGCTGGCCTGCAACTCACTTTGTAGACCATGGTGGCCTTAGGTCTCACAGAGATTCGCCTGCCTATGCCCTGCAGCACTGGAATTAAAGGAGTATGCCACCATATCCAGCTCCAGCCCTTTTTTCTTTACTGTTTGTAGTTTCTTGTTTTCAGAATGAGTAATACTACGTAATACGGGGTTTTGTTCTTTTCTTGGTTATAAAAATTAAAATATCTTATTTGGTCCTCCCTTTTTTGGTGTTGTGTTTTGTGTTATTTTATAGGTCTTTAAAAACTTAGGAACCCAACCAGGCATGGTGGTGCTTGCCTTTAATCCCAGCACTTGGGAGGCAGAGGCAGGCAGATACCTGAGTTTGAGGCCAACCTGGGCTACATAGTTGCAGGACAGCGACAGCCAGAGCTACACAGTGAGACCGTCTCTCAAAAAACAAAAACCTAGAACCATTATTGTGGAGGATACAGCTGAATGAATTGAACACTGTTCCACAAATGTCACATAGCCTTGCATACTAATTTTCTCATCATTGTGACAAAATACCTACCTGACAAAGGCAACTTAAAGAAGGAAAGGCTTATGTTGGCTCCCAATTTGAAGGTACAGTCTGTCATGGTGGGGAAATGGTGACAGCAAGAGCTAGAGGCAGCTACTCAAATTGCATGCAGAATCAGGAACCAGATGAGTACTAGTACTCAGTTTAGGGTAGGCCTTTCCACCTCAGTTAACCAAAGCTAGAAACTCCCTTACAAATAGTTCCAGAGATGTTTTTCAACATGATTCTAAATTCTGTCAAGTTGATAGTCAAGAATAACCATCACAGCTGTCCTGAAAAGCACAGAGATGCAGAAAAGCATATTAAGGTCCTTAGGTCAGTGCTAGAGAGATGGCTATGCAGTTCAGAATGTTTGCTGCTCCCACAGAAGACTGGAGTTCAGTTCCCAACACCTATGTCAACTGGCTCACAACTACCTATAATTCCAGTTCCAGGGGTCTGATGCCCTTTTCTGGCCTCTTTGGCCACCCGCATATGCATGTGCATACATATGCACACACACACACACACACACAAAATGTTCCTTAGGTCATGGTGCCAGTCACAGTTTTTCACTTGCAGTGTTTGATCACTCTCCAAATCATAGTCCCATGGAGCATTTGTGCTTCTAATTAAAGGATAATGTTAAATGTAAAGAGTTAGGTCTACATAGTTCTGCTGTTATTGTTACCTGTATCACATTGATTTTTTTTGTTAACCATTGCTCGACTATGCTTATAAAACTTTTCCAAGGGCAGAGTGTGGTGGTTCGTACCTTTAATGCCAGTAGAGGCAGAGGCAGGCATATCTCTGAGATTGAGGCCAACCTGGTCTACATACATGAGTTCTAAGCCAGCTGAGGCTTCAGGGAAACCCTGTTTCAAAATTTAAAAAACAAATCCTTCTGAGTTAAACCTAAGGATTCTTTTCAGATAGCAGAAGAAAACTAAAATGTCAAGAAAGGAAAAAGGTTTATAGCAAAACAGTGAGATTTTATTTTTTTAAATTCAATTTAAAAGTAGTATAAGAATAACTGTAGTTTAGTATAATGTTCTAAACTTTCCTTTTTTTCTCTTTAAGGATAACAAAGCTGATGTAATTCTAAAATACAATGCAGATGAAGCTAGAAGTCTTAAGGCATATGGCGAGCTTCCAGAACATGGTAATGACCGAGTTCTATTAAATTGTCATGTGGTGTTCAGGTTATCTGCTAGTGTTTAAGTAATGGAATTTTTGTAAAGTTTTGTAAATGTTTTTGTTTATTTTTATGCTTATGTGACTGGTTTTAAGTATACCTGCCTCTACTTCATAATACTAGATTCTATAGGAAAGACGCTACTAGAATTCTATTCCTGATACTCGTGTGTTTAATGAGGAATTACAGCCTCAGTCAAAGGAATTGTTTCTTTGTGATACTCTAAAACTCCTTCAAGAAGGGTTGCAAGTACAGCCCAGTTGTAGCCAACTTAGCATGCACAAGAGTCTGAGTTCAGTCCCTAGAACCACAAAAAAAAAATCTCTTTAAGTGTTTGTCTTTTTATATGTGTTAAATATAAAGGACAATAATTAAGTGGTGTGGATTTGGTTTTGTTTTGTTTTTTGAGACGAGGTCTCCCTATAACCTCAGCTGGTCTGGAACTTGGTATAGACCAGGCTGGCTTTAATCTCAGAGATCCACCTGCCTCTGCCTCCTGAGTGCAAGTGCTGGGATTAAAGGTGTGTGTCACCATGCCTGACTAATACGGATTTTTATTGCAAGTATATTTTCAGTCTGTCATATTCTTGTATCCTGTAGGATTGTTTTAACTAATATGCTTTGTGTTCCCCCTCAAAATATAAAAGTAATCCGTTCTTAGTGCAGAAAACTTTAAAAATTGAGTCTCCTACATATTTATCAAGGGGAAAGTATACTTTGCACACTATTTTGTAAGCCTGCATGTTTTCCATTTTTCTTTTTTTTAAAGATTTTATGTATATAGATGTTTTGGCCTAAGTGTAAGTGCACCACGTGTGCACAGTGCCTATGGAGACCAAAATGGGGAGTTGACCCCCTGGGACAGAGTTACAGGTTGAGCCTCCATGTCGTCGCTGGAAATGGAATCCAGTCCTCTGCAAAAGCAGCAAGTGCTCTTAACTGCTGAGATGTCTCTTTCGTGCTACTTTGTTTTTCAGTTAGTTATTTTTTAGAATTTTTGTCTCCATTGTAGTTTGTCATGAAAACATGACTTTTTTGTAATCATAAAACCCTACTATAAATGACTCACTTGCCATTTGTGATCTCAGAAATGCTAAACTATTTGGGAACAGGCTAGCATGCCCTGGTTCATTTACACTGCTTAGGGATAAGCATAATTTGACCAAATGTTTCTTTCTGATTGACAATTGGCAAATCAGCTGTTTCATTTCCATTCTTTCTTTTTTTTCTGTTTCCCAGCTTGGTAAGTATGCTGTGATTGCATATGATCAACACTTAAGTTTTCTGGACACTGAAATTTTCCCCAATGTCAAGTCCAATAATCACTCTTCTCAAATCTTTCTCTTTTCTAGAGGAACTTCCTTTTGTTTGTTTGTTTGTTTTCTGTTTGAGTTAGGAAATAAAGTTGTTAGTATGTACTCAGACCTCTCCTGAAGCATACTGGAATGTGTAATTGCTTCAGAGATGGTGTAATTAGTGCTTGCCTTGCTGAATGGCCCTTGTGAACAAAAGGAAATTGTACTCTCCATGTTTTGTTTAGTAATTTGCTCTATATAATATGTAAGATTACTAACATTTTGATTATATTATCACTATTTTTTTTAATTGTGTCTTTAGCTAAAATCAATGAAACTGATACATTTGGCCCTGGAGATGATGATGAAATTCAGTTTGATGACATTGGAGATGATGATGAGGACATTGATGATGTAAGTAGATGCATCCTGCTTGTTCTGGTTTCTGTTCATGAGTTATACACAAAGATTACTAGCTCTTTCCCTTAAATTCCTTTAATGCTAGGAATGTAGAACACTTACATGAGAATATATATATGTACTTGTGGGTAGGGGCAATATGAAAGTAAAATAGATTATCCAGGAGGAGGAAGGAGCTGAAGGTGGAAGGATAAAAGGATAATCAGTGAATGAATAGGAAATAGAGTATTTTATATGAAAATATGAAAATTATTATTTAGCACAATTACTATATATAAATAAAAGCATATTTTGAGACTAAGCTATGAATTAAATCCTAAGAATTACTTAGCAATCAAACTGTTAGCCAGGTGGGTATGGTAGCACATACTGTAGTCCCAGCAATCAGGAGGCTGAGGCCAGGGGATTTGCTGCAAGTTTGAAGTCATGCTTGGGTTGCAAAGCAAATACCAGGCCAGCTGGAACTACATGGCAAGACCTCCTAAATGATATGATTACAGGTGTGTGCCACCATACCCAGCTTTCAGCATGGTAGTGCTATGATGCTAAAAACTTTTTAATGGTTGGAGAAATGACTGAGCAGGTAAGAGTGCATAATGTTCTTACAGAAGACCCTTCCCAGTAGTTATATAAGACAGCTCACAACTGCCTGTATGTCCAACTCTGGGGGGTCTGGTGCCTTCTTAAGATACTGCCTACATGTGTGGGGGTGCCCAAGGAGGCCAAAATAGAAAAATAAATAAAATAAAACTCTTTTTTCCCCTTCCTTTGGAGATCCTGGGCCCAAAGCATTTTGTTTTGTTTTACTTTTCAGACAGGGTCTCACTATAACCCTGGCTGGTCTGGAATTTGCTGTGTAAACCAGCCTGGCCTTGAACTCAGAGAGACCCGCCTGCCTCTACCTCCTGAGTGCTGGTATTAAAGGTGTGCTCCACCATACCCAACAAAGCATTCTTTGCCTATATTGTCGCCAATATTTTGACAGTCGAATGAACTGTTATAGAATATAACAGTGACCATATGCTGTGGATTAGGTGCTAATCCAAATATTTTTGACTGTTGTGTAAGTCTCTTTAGGAATTTAAGGAGTCTTGGACAAAGGACATAATTCAGTTGTAGAGTGCTTGCCTAGCATGTACAAGACTGGGTTTAATTCCTAGTAATGCAGAGAGAGGAAGACAGATGGAGAGACAAAAAGACAGAAGAGGAGAGAGCTTGTAAAACAAAAGTATGAAGCCACGTATTCCTGGGTCTGTGCAGGAGAGGGTGACTTTTGAACTCAGTCCTCCTTCCTTCACTTCCAGAGTGCTGGGATTGCAGGCTATGCCACCTAGGAATTGACAAGACTTACTCTGAATTTTTTTATTTATGGTATATGTGGGGGTGCCCAAGGAGGCCAAAGGAGGCAGACATTAGATCCCCTGGAACTGGACTTAATAGGCAGTTATGAGCTGATCAGTGTGGGTGTTGGGAGTTGAACTCGGGTATTCGGCAGGAGCAGCAAGCATTCTTAACCACTCCAACCCCAGAATATACATTCTTCAAACATGTTTTTGAAACATTGTATTTATTTATTTTGTGTGAGTGGATGGGTGCCTAGGGTACACGTATGGAGCCATTTCGTTGTTTCCACCATGCGGATTCCAGAGATTGAACTCAGGGCTTGACAACCAATTCCTTTACCCTTTGAGCCATTTCACTAGTCCATAAACATTTCTTTATAACTATTTGCTGTATCACCTGAGAACCCTGCTTGTTTGCTGGGACTATTTCTCCAGCTTTCTGTGTTCATGGGTTTGTAGGTGTACCTGTATTCCTATAAGCATATTCTTTCAATGATGTACTTGTCTAGTCTTTAAGAGATCATGTTCCCTCATGTCTGCTCCTTCCCCTAAAATGTAGCGTTCTCATAAGAACTGGAGAATTGGCTCAGTGGTTAAGAGCACTGGCTGCTCTTGCAGAGGACCCAGGTTCGGCTCCCACCATCCACATTGTGGTTAACAACCATTTTTGTAACTCTAGTTCCAGGGGATCTGACACCCTCTTCTGGCCTCCACAGGCCAAGTCTTTTTATAGAAAATTTAAAAAGCAAAATGGGAACAGCTGGGACTACAGGGAGACCTTGTCTCAAAAAGACCAAAAAAAAAAAAAATGCAAAATGAAATCTCAGATCTTAGCACAAAAGGAGACAGTAAACTTACATTAAGAATATTCAGGGTGGGGCATGGTGGCACACGCCTTTAGTCTCAGCACTCAGGAGGCAGAGGCTGGCAGATCTCTGTGAGTTCAAGACCAGCCTGGGTCTACATAGTGACTTCCAGGCCATTTGAGGTGGAGGGTGAGGAGCTGGAGAGATGGCTCAGTGGTTAAGAGCATTGGCTGCTCTTGCAGAGGACCCAGGTTTGGTTTCAGAACCCACATGACAGCTAACAACTGTATAATTCTAGTTCCGGGGCATCTGATATCCTCTTGTGACTTCCTCAGGCACTGTACACATGTGGTGCATTTACATAAATATAGGTAGTCATTCATAAAATTGAAAAAACACAGATATTCTGGTGGGGGGGGACTGGAGAGATTGCACAGAGGTTAAGAGTACTTACTGTTACAGAGGACTCAGGTTCAGTTCCCAGCAACACAGTTACAGGCAGTTAACTCTAGTTTCAAAGGGATCCTATGCACTTTTCTGGCCTCTGTGTGCACCTGCAATTCACATGCATATACCCACATACAGATATATGTAATTAAACATAAAATAATAAATCTTTTAAAAATTCTGCATAGCATACATTATGAAGGATATCAGATTTTCTGAAAGTAGGCTATAATTGGTTTCCCAGACAACCTGTGACACTTATGCATAGTAGCCTTTTAGGACATAAGAGTTCTCCAGGGCTAGAATGATGACTTTGTGGGTGAGGTGTTCAGAATACACATAAAGCTGGGTATAGTAACACTTTTGTAATCCCTGTGCTTCCACAGGGAGGTGGGAGATAGAGACAGGAGAATCCCCAACAGCTCTCAGGCCAGCTAGCCTGATGTACACAGCAGCAAACAACAAAGAGGTCCCATCTCCAAAGTGGCAGGCAAGGACCGACACAGGTTCCTTCTGCCTCTACCACTCACATGTGCATACACATATATATGCAAAGACTTTCTTTTTTTAATATTATTTTTAATTTTTTATATGTATGAGTGTATTGCCTGCATGTAGCTAAGTGAACCTGTGTCATGCAATGCCTGTGGAGGTCAGAAGAGGCTGTCGGATCCCCTGGGAATGGAGTTATGAGCAGTTGTTGGCTGCCATGTGGGTGCTGGGATTTGAACCCGGGTCTTCTGCAAGAACAACCAGTGTTCTTAACCACTGAGCCATCTCTCCAGCTCCGGCAAAGACTTTCTAAAGAATTATTTTTTTCCTTTAACTTGATGTTCTTTTCCCTTTCAGATCTAAAGTGAACTCAACATTCTACATTCCAGTCTTTCTGAAGATTGTCCTACAAGTTTGGAATCTGGCCGTAGACCACAAGGAAAAGTTTTCACTATCTTGATTGTAATTTGTTGAGGCAGACTTAATTTGTTAACTAAGGTCGCTTCTTTCAAAACTGATGTGCTGAACTATCTTAAGTGACATGTTATGCCCACTTTGTTCTTTCGATGTAATGGAAATTAGGGAGGAAAAAAAATGCTTATGCCTTTCTTGCTTTGACCACTTCCAGTAAGGAAGTGGATGTTTGAATAAACTATTTGCCTTGTACTCCCTATAAAATACAATTGGGCCCTGTTTGCATTACTGTTGACTGTACTATGTTTGTATGTATTCCAGTTGCCCAGAGATTTTGATACAAATGAAGGAGGCAAAAATCTGTTATACTGTTTTATTGGTTTTCTTTTTGTGTTTTGAGTCAGAGTCTCACTTTGTTTCTTAAGTGAGTTTGGAACTCACTGTAGTCCTGGTGGACCTCAGACTCACCCTAATCTTTTCTCAGCCTCCTGAGTACTGGGGTTGCAAGCATGTACCACCACACTGATACCCAGCAAAACATGTATTTAAAAGCAAAACTGATAAGTCTTCCTTTCAAATTTAAGTACCATGGATATTTTTGTACTAATTTTGATACCATGTGAGTTCTTTTCATGATCTTATTTTGCCATCCTAAACTTACTGGGGGGCATGGGGAGGCATTTCCAGAATGTTTTTAGAACTTGGTTTTTAATGCCCATTTTGAACTAAGGATAGTAGTTGCGAAAATTGAACACTAGGTGGAGCTCAATTGTCTTAACATTGGAAATATTGTTGGGATGATTTCTTTTCTCAGCTAATGCACATTTCCTAATGTGCATAGGAAATTTCCCAGACAAGGAAAAAATTGTTTTACTCCTGTGTGTAGAATATTTTTACAGAACAGAAAGACTGTTGAAATTGTTATTTTATTTTCAGACATCTTGTTCACATAAACTACAAATTTGAGTGCTTTATAAACACATCAGATATAGATAAGTGAAGATTTAAATTCATGACAACCTGTATAGATAAATGCTTTTTCAGCCTATCCATAAATTGAGGAAAACAGAGTAACAAACGCAATGAGCTAGGAATCCTGGCATGGCCTTTAATCCTGCACTTGGGAGGTCCATGCAGGAGGGTTGGGAGTTCAAAATCTGCCTCAGCTACTTAGGAAGTTCTAGGCCAGCCTCAGCTACATGAGACCCTCTCTCAAAAACAAATAGAAAACAAAATTTAAGGAAAAGATGCTTTCTAATTTCTGAATGAAAGAGCTACAGCTGGAAAAAAACAAAACCATGCTGCAGAGTCATTATACTCTGACTTTGTATTATTAACTTTACTATGCGGATAGTTTGGGGGTCCAATTTTATTTGTATTGGCAATTTAGGTTTACTCTTATTTAGGAATTAGGAATTAACAATTCAGTTAGAGCTAGGCTAGTCAGAATTCACTAGCCATGCAGAGATCATACACATTTTAAACAACAGATCCATCATGTACCTTGTAGGCCTTGTGTTCTGCTGGTGTCCAGAGAACTAGTAATTGACGCAGTTACAAAAAGAATGACTGTTCACATGACTTCCAACAACTTGAAGATCTTCTCTAATCCCTTTAACTGTGACTTCATTTCCTAAGTGTGCATACTTTGAACTCAAAGTCTGAGGTACTATAAAAAACAGAAAAGAGTGCATCACTGTGGTCCATATTTCTTATTCTGTGAAATTTCTTAGTATGTATCTAGGTAGAATGCATTTGAGGACAGGGCTGAAACTAGCCCTGAGGAGTTTGCTTAACAATAGTCTTCCTCAATAATCTTAACGTATTTAGACCTCTATACCCGAAAAGTATTCTGCTAGCTGGGTGTGGTGGCCTTCGCCTGTACACCTGTAATCCCAGCACAGGAGGATTTGCTGTTCAAGGCCAACCTGGCCATGTAGTTCAGGCCAGCCAGGGCTATATAGTCAGACACTGTCTCAAAAAAAAACCAACAACAAAAAGTGTTTTGCTAAATTTGCAGTGAACATAGATACACACTATTTTATCATGAGTGTTTAAACTCTGCACAGGTGATACAGTTCTTGATAGGAGTAATACAGCTCAAATATTTTCCACTTATAACAAATAGAAAGGTTTTTAAAAATTACTGTCCATCCATGTCACTTCTGGTAGTTTTAATTCTTCATGCCTAAATAGTAGCACAGCAGTCTATTCCTATTGTATCCTATACGATCTGGAATCATAATGATTAAAGGTAGTTGAATACAGTTGTCACTCATTCAAATGTTCCCTGGAAGAATTTTCTTGTATTTGATGTGGGGATTGTATAATTTCGTTGATTGTTTATATTTCAAATAAGGAATGGATGTGGTCTTCAACAAAACTGTTTATTTTTTCTTTTTGGTGTGACTCCCATAATACAGTGCTAAAAGAAGTACCCAGAAAGAAAATAAAATGTTTGAAACCTAAGAATAATGCTGCTTTTTTGAGACAGGATTTCATGTGGCCCAGGCTGACCTTGAACTTCTCATCATCTGCCTCTACCTCCCAAACACTGGCTCCCAAACGCTGTCATCATACCCAGCCAGAATAATCCTTTGTGCTGGTAGAATGCTGTAATAGTTACTTGTAATTTGATAGGGTCACGCAGTGCTCTGGATGTGATCCTCAGCAGTACGTAAACAACAGACCAACTTAATAGGGTTGTATTTCTCTAGCAGTTTAGTCCAGCTAGAGCATGGACATGCTGATTGCTAAAGTGTCTAACCATCCAAGCATTTGTGTAAAGAGACTTGCCAAAATTCAGTTGTCTATTTAATCATTGTTAAACATCTAGCTTTTGGGAGACTAAACTATTCATAATAAGAATTTTTATTTTTTATTGAAAAGTATAGCCATTGGTTTACTCATCCCATGTTTGGAATCGTGGCTGTAAGTAATTGCTTTAAAAAAAAAAAACCTATGACTCGCAATTTAACCTAATCATTCATCTTATGTAAACTTTGAATTATAATGTTGAACAACATCTTTAATGGGTGTAAACTACTGTCAGTATTGACTGCAGAGTACCTGAGTAATCAAATAGGTAAGCATGTTTCAAATAAAATAGCTAGGTTTCTACTCCATTTGTATTGTGTACAGATTGAATGACATCTAGTATAGACTGCGACTTTCCAGTCAGTATCAGAATGAAAATGTAGCTCTGTACGTTACTGTACCTTCTGAAAGATGTGTATTGGCGAGTGATTTCTAGCCTGCTCAGTTGGTAAGAAGTGTTATATAGTGGTAGAACCCCCACGAACCTTGTGTACTACTACCTTTGTGCCTGTCGTTTCCCTTAAACCATCCTTTTCATCCTTGGTGGAATTTTTTTCTTCCTCTTCTGAAAAAAACAAAGTCTGAATTAAATCATAGTGCAAGTATGAATAGACACTAGAGTCTGAGCGGTTAAGAAAGTATTAGAAACCACCAGGTGCTCGACAGGCAATGTACTAGAAAGGGAAGAGCAGAGGCCCTGGGGTCAGGTGACCTGTACCACACCACAGTCTCCATCCAGCTCTTTACCAAGCACCTCCAGCTGCTCTCAGCTTCACAACCCTTGCCTGTGAGGTAGGACTGATGAGAATAGTACCTGCCCTAGAGTTTTCTGGAGGATTAATAATGTAGATGTTTGTACACGTGAAACACTGGGTGTAGCATCTGTTGCTTTGCAAGTTGATCTCCAGGACCCTGTGAGACTGAAGATGCATGCATGCCTTCCATATTCACTATTTACCATAGAATTTACTTGCAGTCTTTGATCCCTATGACAGAAGGAACATGCAGAATACCTATTTGTATTATGTGGACACTATTATGGTTACCACCCTTATTCAGCATAAGATTAGCAGGTGGAAGTTTCAAAGTTGCTTGAAGCTATTTTAATTAGACTACCAACTGCTCTAAATTTCTTCAAAGAAAGTTTACAGTTACTAATATTGCTGGCTATGGTAATACTTCGTTTTTAATGCCTTTAATGAGTTCTGCTATAGATCAATGACAATACTGTTTTGGAGATTTCCTTTCCCATCCCATGGAACATTGTAAAGAAATCACATGTGAACTGCATCAATTAGAAAATAAAACATGAAACAACCCAACAGTGTATACAATTGATTCTTTTCAAGCTAACAATTTGTTAGATTTTGTTCAAGGTCATCCTTTTCTGAAATTTTGGAAATAATTGGTGATGTGTGAGAAAAAAGTGCACTTTTGTCTATTTTTGTCTGGTTTTGGTAGTTTGAACAAATTGGTTGTGTTCAGTCACATTCCAAATGGGGTTGCACTTCTCAATGAGTAAATTTGTCACGAACCTACACTAAAGAAGACATTTTCTAATAGTAAATCGGTTGTCCAAAATGATTTCCAATTAAGGACTTTTAGTGAACCTTCTTTTGTGCTGGGCAAAAAGCTATGAGTGAACCTATACTTCTGGCCAACATGAAAGTCTTTTGGGGATTGGGGTGAAATGGTCTCTGTGTTACCCTAGCTGGCCTTGAATTCCCAGCCCTCCAGCCACAGCCTCCTAAGTTCTAGGATTATAGGCATGCACCACCTCACCATCCTCAGCAAAAGCAATCTTTGCTGTTCAGATCTTGAACAGATTTTCCTTGACTGAATCAACACAAAATGTTTGACCAAATCTCTGGGCTCAGGTTCCCACAAAATAAGCAAGCAAGCAGTTCAGTGGCACCAGCTGACCTCCAATTCAAGTCTGACACTGCCTGAAAACTGTCAGATTCCACAGGTCGTTTGTCCCCGAGGCTGTACCCTACCTCCCACAGATGCTGATTGCAAGCCCGGAGTTTGTTAATTGCATCTAAAATATGCTACTTAACTCAGGGTTCTCACCCCCCCCCCACCTTCTTGACTTTGATTAATATGTTGCATGCTTTCAAGGATTT